CAGCAGCAGAAGCGACATAGGAAGCTATTTAGTTAGATAGGCTTATCATGGAAATGGGATTGAAGCAGGGCGTGGTTAATCTTCATTGTGATAGTTAGAGCGCTTTACATTTGGCTGCGAACCAGGTCATGGATAGCAGAGTGAAGCACATTGACATCAGGTATCATTTTATCAGACAAGCGGTGTCTGATAAAACGATTGAACTAGTAAAGATCGACGGTAAACTCAATCCAGCTGATGCTTTGACCAAAGTTATTCCATTGGAGTGTTTCAGGCGACATTGTGCTACCATGCAAGTTGTGCATGGGGAGTACATGTAAGCTTTGCTAGCATACTAACTCTATTTACCTCTTTATGTTATTACTCTATCCTGTTATGGCTACGGTCTAGTTCTAGTTAACTCTCGTATAAAGAAGGGTCTTGTGATAGGCATCTGTCTAGAACTTCCCGCTGAGTAATAATATAGGTTTCAGAGGTTACTGAATCCTTAACACGAGTTAAGGGGGAGATTGTTGAGGTTAACTCCGGTTAAGGAGTAACCTCAGGCTCTAGCTATTTATAGTTACGTGTGTCGCTGGCTTTAGGTATAAATATACCTCCAAAGTCAAGGCTTTTGAGGGTAGCCGAAACATTGTGTATTCATTTGTCAGTAAACCTGCTCAGTGTTCCAGCCGTGGACGTAGCCCTCGAGGGTGAACCACGTTATATGAGTGTCTTGTGAATGATTCTTGATTTTTCGTTAACACAGTGCAGACATATAGACATATGTAGAACACTCACAAATGACGAAACAAAACAATGACACGCGACACGGACATATCACACGTGTTGATACGTATACAGATCAAGATTCAAGACTACATGGATGTCTTTGGTGATATTGTGATATATTTGCAAAATCTTTTTGAATAGATATCATATGAAGAAAATTATACTCATCATTTTAGCTTGTTATGTGCTTGTCACGTATCTTATTCCATTGTAATATAGAAGTCATCACTCACAACAAGGTTGTAGGTGTTCTTTTGATAGATTATCTTCAGGAGAAGATTATATTATCATCTCTCTAATGTCCATTTGTGTTTATTATATTTAACCGTCCATCTAGGATTACGAGCCGAAGGAGCTATAGAATCGACAAATCTTGAAGACGTTCAGTTCTTCGAGTCGAGTCTATAGCGTTTGGATGAGTGAGTGTTCGTAAACGTCTACTTGGATTCTCTCTTGAATGGGTTGGGCTCTACTTTTATGTGACGGTCGTGTATTGAGCTAGTGGGGTTAACACTTCTTCATTCAGTTGTGATACATTTGATTATGTACGCTTTCGTATCCTATGTGTGTGTGAGTAGCATGTCAGCAATGTAAAGTGTATGACAATACATATTCGCACGACATCTCATTCATCATTTCTTCCAAGACGACATTATATGTGATTTGAGATTGATCACGTTCAAGAAACAACATAGATAGAAAATGTGTTAGATACAATGAGAGATCCAAGTCCACGGATAAGCTCTCAGAAAGAGATGATAGTGTGTTGGTGATGTGGCAAGAGTGGTCTTCTCAAGAAGTATTGCTAAAGGTAGAAGGTACAAAATGCATATCCACCTCCTTTGGCAAGTATGACAAATATTTTGATCCCAATGAATATGATTTTCTGAAGTATGGCATATGATAACATAGATATATGTTATGCAATTTTTCAAAGATTGTTGATGAAGCTTGGATTTTTTATAATGCTTGTTTCTATCACATATGTTATATCAGAGAGTTTTTTTTGTATAATCTCAAGATCAGACGGATCACTTCTTACAAGAAAGGATTGATCTTGTAGAATTGAGACGTTGGATCTGTAAAAATCATCATCTTTGATAAGATCAACCGTACACTATCCAAATTGATGTATATCTGACACGAGACAACATTTGAAATCTCTTGGTATATTAGACGTTACATCACGTGATAAGATTATTTTTTGAATACACAAACACAATAATTTGTACTTGCTAGAGGTCAATATCATATGTGGAAAATTTCACTTTATCATATTTTGAGTTGAGATGTCTTATGTATGACATTTTAGACCAGAACACATAACACAGAAGGATGACAAGTACATGTGTAACCATCTTTAGTTAGTTAGAACTAAAGTAGAGGTTACTCAAAATGTTTTTATGATACTTTAGCGCACATTAGTCATAATTGTCACGTCAACCATCCATATGTTTGGTAGATATAGAGTAAGTGTGTTAGTTGACAACGTCATGTCAACGATCCGTGTGTTTGTTAGATAAGGATTGAATGTATTAGTTGAAAGCGCCATATCAGCAATCTATGTGCTTGTTAGGGTTATCCACGTCATCCATCAACTAGGAGGGGGATAGATGATGGGGATAAGATCTTATTTCCTTGTACTTATTGACAATAGTTATATGAGTGAGAGTAGAACCATTGTTGATATCTCTCATCTTCAGAGTTTATGTTTTTATCTTTGAATGAGTTTCTCTCTAAACACTAATGTTACAACATGTAACTGCTTGATGAAAGTAAGTTGTTACCTAGTTTGGATAAAGTTGGCTAGACAATTTGCAAGCATTAATCATGAGCAAGCAGCAAATGCAAGTATTTGATGTTGAAATTCATAGTTTCAAGGAATTACTTGCGTATTACCATAGTAACGTGTGATGATCGTCTTCTATTGCTTCACTCTCTAGTAAATTGTATTATGTATCATTTATAAATATATATTTTGAATTGAACTCCAATTTTCAGTTTAACTAGTAAGCATTTTATTTTTAGTTAAGAATTGATCATTATAGGGAGAATTAAATAGCCTTAACTTTTGTTAAAAAATCTTGCATGGCTATTTTTTAACCTTAGTGTTTTTTTATCTCTAATGAATGTTGCTCTAACACAAAATGAAACATGTACTTTGCACTTCAATTCAGAATGCACATTGTTATTGTTATTGTTGAATTTCTAACTTATAATTCTTGGTTGTTATAGAGCTAACAATAAACATGTCTTGGAATTCACCCAAATGTAAAAAGTTTTGCTAAATAATTCATTATGAAATAAAAAATTTATAAATCATTTTTTTTATAATATGTATATATATTCACAACATCAAATATCAATAACAAATATTTATTATAAAATTCATAATTTTTTTATATTGATAATATATATATATTCATTTTTTATAGTTATAAAATGACTTTAATATGAATTTCTTGAGATTCATAGTTGTAAAATTTATCATAAATTTTCATTGATTATAAGATCTATCAATATTTCAAATTTACAATGTGAAAGTAAGATATGACATTTTAATGGATTATTTTATTGGTTTTCATTACAGATATATCATTTTCATATAGAATTTTATTTTTAAACAAAATTTTAATCAGTAATATAATTATTATTTTTTAATTATGAAATTTAAATATACATTTAAAAATATTCTCAAATAAGCGACTACTTATTCTTCACTTTTGGTTAATTATTTCTCATACTATTATATTTTATCTATTTAAGATTTATGATTGTTAAGATGCAAATAATTGATGAGAAAAGATGTAGTTTTTGTGGTGTGGGTAGATATTACTCCTAAAATAGTAATTTTTTTGAGAGTTGGCAGAATTGAATCAAGGAACAAATGCGTGATCACTCTTGAGATTTTGGTGAGCGATTGACTTGATCTTCCTACAACAACAAGTGATTGATAGTTGGAGGTACGCGGTGGAAAAATGATCAACGGATTTGATTTGTTTGTATGTGAGGGATGATTTTGATCAAAGGCGAATGGTTTGTGCAAGTCAAATTGATGTATAACTAGCCACTCCATTCTTAAAATGACTATGAATTAGAAAATAATGAAATCATATTGGATAAATTTCATTCACAAAGTGTCATTGCATCTTTTCCAGTTTAATATTACATGCATGATTTGAAAAGATGATCAAGATCTTCAAGAATCTTTATCTAAATTCATGTTGCTTGGAGTGCACTTATCTATATACAAGTTATGACATCTTGAAAGAAAGAGTCTTGTTCAAAGTTGACTTTCATTACTTCGGTTTGATATTTTGAGTTTTTCATGTAATTTTTCAAAACAAGAGATAATGTATATAAACATCACAAAAATCTTCGATAGATGTTACAATTTTTTTCTATCATGTTCATTTGGACTTCTATCAAGAAATTCACATTGATATGTCAAATTGTTACAAAATGATCTTCTAATAACCATGTGCTTGCTATAAATTAAAGCATGTTGATCATCATTCCATGAGCTAATGCTCATAATCAGAGTTAAGCCTCCCAATGGTGTGATCTATTAGGAGTGACATACTCGCGTTACTCACATAAAATTCCATAACCATTAGTTTTTAACTTCTAAATTTATTCAATAAAAATATTATGTTTTAACAATTCATATGTATGACACAAAAGAATGTGGCACAATTCTATTCAACGGCTTACCTTAACAATTCTCTCTTGTTGGATCTAAATAAAATGCTTATACAATATATATTATCATCAATTGCTTCACTCAAAATTAGGATGAATTCTATTAGTTCGAAATTATACCATCTCTACTTGTAGTCCTGAACAATACAGCTGTGCAAATAAAGTTGATTTTGAAACATATTTATAGAATATCCCAGGACTGATGTAATATAGGATGAGAAATCCGTAAGCTTTCGTTTTATAAATACTTTCTCCCAACAGTGACATCTAACCATAACATCGCCGCAGTATGTTACTATTAGTAGGATAAATTCAAGACTTTGCAACTCCCAATAATGACATCAAATTCTAACATCAATGCATGTTACTATTTGCAGGTTATACTCAAGAGTACTTTACTCTTGTGATTGACATTTCACAATAATGTCGTAAAACACTAACAGCAATGCACGTTACTATCGGAAGGTATAACTCTGTATATCAAATATAAAATTTTCATTCCATTATCATATCATAGTCTAGCATCCCCCAAATAATACATTATTGGAAAAACTCATGTGTAAAATGTAGAAAAAAAACATTTCACCCCGAAATTATCACATTTCGAAAGTATCATCATTTCCATTCTTGACATCGTTGAAATTCGTAATAGCAAGCAACGAAAAATCTGACCTCATCTCCGGTAACAAGATCATCCCGTAGGGATGCAAAATTGATCTCCACTTTCTTGTGGGCTCGTTGTCAAACTCCATATCTCTATCGTTCCCGATTGTGAGTCCCGTGACCGAACACGTGATGTGAGCTGATCTAGACGGTGATGCCCGTCGTGTCTAATGAGGGAGTTTGAAGTTCAGCTCACATTTCCTACAAATGCAAAATTGTCTGACGAGAAAAAAACATGTCGTCATCATCGAAGGTACACCTGGAATCTCTCCCGTCTGCAGTTAACATGCAGAGCTTGAAATGGTGACGTTCTTTAATTGCGGCCTGGAATGTCGATGGGAGTTCTGTACTTCCTGGTCTCTTGCATCTGAGCAAAGAATGGGAACCCATCGGTATTCTGAGCACCTTGCAGCACGCTGTTGTACTCCTTCATGAGCATGTACCACATCCACTGGCACTGCTTGGCGTCTTTTTCGGTCCGGGCTACTCTCGAGAGTCCGAGCGCGGCCTTCTGCCACACGAGGCCCAATTTCTTCTCCTTCAGCGCTCGACAGAATAAAGAGTCGCCTTTGGACCTCAACATTATCAGATACTCGACCTCTGCAGTGCTCCAGGAGGACTCCTCGACGATCTGGCTGTCGAGGACATTGCCCTCGTCGTCCAGACGCTTCTGAGTCTTGATGAACAAAGTCTCGTGAAGAATCTTGGCTCCCGCCGGCCCACGAGACTGCTCCTCGCGGCAGCCTCGTTTGAAGACGAGAGAGAATTCCACCACGACCTTCGTCTTCTGCTTTTGAGCCCTCTCCGGTTCCTCATCGGGCCGTCCGCTTTTTCGAGACCCTGCCGCCATCGCCACGGTCGGCCCGCCGACTGGCGCCACCATGCCCTCTTGCTGTTCAGTGATGCTCGTCCTTCAGCGCCGGCTGCATGGCGACCGTGCATAGCCCTCCGGCCTCGTTCGACGAACTAGCTCTCCATTCCTCAATCCTCATGTAAAGTACTCGAGCTTCATCATCCATCGTCACTGATCAGAAAGTAGACACCAAGAATGCTCCTGCGACTGAGAATGGACAAGGGAGAATTCTCAAATGTCGCAGACAGCTCCGTCTAATGCCACGCTATCGGCCCTGCCCTTAGCGATTCTCATCAGCAGATTGACAAGATTTGCCAGGGGAAAACAGTTGTCAATCCGCAGACCTCCGTCTCAACAACAGCACAGACAGGGCAGGGACTAGTGCAGAGAATGCAGTGAACACATAACACAACAAGACGGGGGAATTTACTGACAACTTACAGATCGTGGGTACGACCCATGACTGCTCACGACATTACCATGAACCTCGTGCCTCTCCGCTTCTCGGTTGGCAAGAAGCCGGCTTGCTTCTTCAGAGCAACATTGGCATGCGGACATCTCCACCTATGGTGTGGCAGAGTCTCCCTCTCGCTACTCTAGATTCTTCTCACGAACAGAGAGTAGGACTTTAGCACACGACTGCGTAAACTCACCACGTGCGATTCAGCTTCGTCCTCAACAGGTCGATCTTATGCTGCAAGCCATTTCATGTTCGCACGAAATCGCCTCGCATTGAAAAGCGAATTCGGCGGCCGGCAGGTATGTCGAGACTCGGTACTCCTGAGTTCTCGTTCAGTGAATGAGTATGCATGTCGTCATCCAGCGTCATACGACACAGTCGTCAGGGCTCGTACCTCAGCTTTCATGGAGGAATGGGACTCAGTCGCAAAGCTCGAGCCTTGAAGAACAAGGATCTCGTCCTCCCGCCATGAATCCGCTCTCTGCTACGTGTCCATGCACACGTGCAGGATTTGCGCATGAGTGGTCACTACAGTATTCTGTCTCGATCATCATCCTCAAGCCTCTCTATTCTAGGACAATGTCTAATGGGGATGATTCATCCTCATCGCCATTCTTTGATACAGTACCCGCTCCATTTTCCATGATACTCTCTCCGAATCATCTAATTCAGCACTGAATGATGTGGGGCATTTTCAGTCGTCGCTAATTGAGCTTTCCAAGGATTAGTAAGGATGAAAACCGTGTCACATCAACTAGTTTTCGTACAACATATACTAAAATTTTACATATGATTTATATATATCAAATTCCAAAACATATTGTTGCTTTCTTTCAAGAATATTCTTAGTTATACTTCGATATCCAAGAAAAGAACGAATCTTGTTTGATAAGATCTAGATCTCGAGTTATGAAGATTTTAAATACGATTGTATTTCTTTAAGTTTGGAGAGAAATGTACCAATTTTCTGGTAAAATCTGGCATTCTATTTTTAAATGCCAATTGGACCTCCTACTCCTAGGTTTTGATAAGATCTAGATCTGAAGATGATTGTATTTGTTCAAGTTTGAATAAAAATGTACCAATTTTGTAATAAAATCTGTCATTCTATTTTTAGATGCTAATTCCCGCGGATAGTTACAAAGCATTTGCGTGTCATCATGACTCGAACTAGTCTATTTCATGTGAAGCATGAGGTAGAATGTAGTTGGAGATCAAATTCTAGCCGCGCTCGATAGACTACAAAATGTTCAATGTCTATTTTGCGTACACGTCGTCACTCGTTCAAAAGCACCAGGATGTTTATGAGAAGCGCCACCGAACCAAGAACACATAGCTGTTCCAGTAGATAGCACGAGTTTACAAATATCATAACGAGAGTGTTCTATTGCTATAAATTAATCCCTCCACGATAGATAACAAGATGGTTTCTTTGTCAAAAAAAATTGCTTTGGCATGCACATCCGCGACTAAGATTTATGGATACAGATACAAAGAGTTTTTCAAGAATGAACAACAACAAATATTGGAGGAAATCAGCAACTTCTCATTTTCATTGAGGGGATGTATTGCAGATTAAAGCGGAGCGCGGTATCAACGTCAATGCAATGGAATTAAAAAATACTATTAATGTCATTAGATTTAGTCAAGATGCGTCATGACCAGGCATGGTTGTATTTGGCCCTAAACTATCTTGTGAATAGGCGACTAAATTAAGGTGGATGCGATTTGGCACTTACGTGTTTCAACCAATGGGGAGTTGACATCTATGCAAAACATGATTCATTTCATTGATTCTTCGTTGCTTGAAGTTCAATTATGTATTCTTGTAAGTTCACAAATTACTAAATCATTTGTTTATGCTCTAAAAGAAAATTCTAAAAGATTTTACTTCAATTCTTTAAATTATTATTTGATATTACATTACGATTCTATGTACAAATTCATGCATACTTGAATTATCCCAAAACCTTCTTCACAATTGCCATTGCTTAATTTATCATCCAAGTTTCAACTCTCTTGGAGAAGTTCAAAGCAGATTTGATCAGTTCTTAAGTCTCTATTACTTCATGTGATCCACAAATTTTCATTCAAATTTATGTATACTCATAGCTCATCCAAAGACTTTAATTTTGTTTTAGTCCCTCCATATCTCTTTCTCAAGTTAACCAATTTCTCCACTCTCTAGCTTATCACTCCTGTACTTTTCGTTCTGCATTCATTTTCTCACTTTACTAGTTTCAACCTGCTCCACTTCAACCCTTATTTCAGTTGTATTTTTCTACATGGCAATTCTTGTTACTTCATTCTGATCGTTGATGTACTAACGGCTAATCCTTGATATGTTATGTTAGAGTTTTGAGGAGGGTGGTGATCCATCGTATGCACAAATATCTATATGTCTAGGGAGTATAGAATTATTCTTGCTGTGTAATGGTGACTGTTTTGATGCAAGTCATCGCATATTATTTCAGTTTTCAGCTCTTCATCCTTTAAGTTGAAATTGTTTTAGTATTATGTACACCAATCTAGCGATTTTCAGAAGAATGCATAAAAAATGCGGAGACTAGCAATCCCTCTAGAAATCACAAGTACCAAGGCCTAAAGTACATGCAAATCTTTACTCCACTGCCTCAGGTAGATGCATAATGTGCCCTTACATAATGTGCCCTTACAGACAAGTCTTAATTTGCTATAAATCAGAGTTGTTATTAAAGGCGTGTGCGTGCATATTTTTCCTAATCACATACCATCCAAGACTTTTGAAGACCATATCTTTATCACTTTACATTGTCCTCTGATTATTATTTTTAATTGATGATGCTTGATGGGGCCTTTAATTACTAATTCTATGAGCAATTTGCATGTATGCCACACTAGACACCTCAGTCAAATGCATGATTTACCACAATAGAGAGATCACCACTCTGATTATATCTTGTCCTAGGGTTGGGTTTTAAGCTGGCTTTGTGAGCCTTTTTTCCGCGCATTTTCATACCATGCACCTTCACTGGGCTTTAACATGAATATGTGAGAAATTATCACAACAAAAAATCACTTCAAGTCCTATAAGCAAAACAAATGACAAATATATTGAAATTACTTTTATTTGGCTTCGAACTTTTAAGTATTCACAAAGTTTGCCAAGCCGAGGGATGCCTTGATATACCATACCTTAGATACATTACTTGAATGATTGATATTTTCGAAGATAGGAGTGACGAATGATACTCGGCTATTCCATGCTCGTAAAAACACCCTCATGGTTAATTGTGGAAACAAACAGTTTCGGCGTAGCATTTCTCTTGTACATAAGTCGTGTGGGTCTTCACTTCCACTTAGGTTCAATTTGTCATGTACAGTATAAAAGATTGGCTGATTATCTTACTAAATACTGAAGCTAAACTAGCGAAACCGATCTCATGCTGGTTCCACATCAGATCGCTCGGCATCTCACTTGCCTTCCGGCTTTACGATAGCTGTGCAGTCAATGAGGAACTCTGCTGCTGATGAGAAAGAGCTCAGTGTTCTCAAAACATTCATGGTGACCACAGTGTATTCTGAAAATTTGCACCGGAGGTTTGTGAGCCGTGTCCAATTAGCAGGGTTTACAGCTCTTGCACCTGTGAGTTTGGGATCTCGTTACATTTACAGACATCGCATGTACCAAATGTGAGGTAACTTATGACAGTTTTACCCATGGAAAATAGTAGCAATCATATAGCAGCAAGTAATTTATACAATTTCCATAACACAGATTGTACTCTATAATGACGTCTGACAGATATCTCGAGCCTATGATCATTCAAATTGGTTCCTTTGTGATCATGATCGAGCTCGGTTAAGATCCAAAGAGATTAAAAAAAATGGAGACTGCAACCCATTCTTGTAACATTGACTTTTTCCCCTGGCTATGCACTTTTCTTATCTCCTATCTTCCTCTCGAGTCAAAAATTCTGGTATTGGTGACTAGTTCCCATCAGCTATGAATCTCGATCATGGACCAATAGTGGTGATTTATCCTAGATTACCCTAAAACACAAGTCATCTTTCCACACTATCGCGGATCCACTTTGTAGCGACCCACTTCTCTCCTGCAACCACTGGGCAGCTACCGTGTAACGCCGCCTGCAACCAGATAAATACAACATCTTAATTTCAGAGCATGTGTAACGTAGACATACCGGAGGACAATAGTTCACAGGTTTTACAATTCTTCATATCAAACTGAAGACCATTATATCAATTTGAGAGGCTTTCCAAAAATTTGAGTTTACTTTTGAACCCAGATCAAGAAAGGAAGGTCAAAGATCTTACGGCATCAAAAGTTCCATTTGGGAACATAGAGTAGAAAAGAAGTGCATCTCCCTGCTTAGGCTTCACTCTGAGGCCTATGCATTGCTTGTAGTCGTAACCCATATTCATGTTTTGATAGTTCTGCAATAGACGAGAGATGTGATTATATATTCGATCCTTCAGTGGTTATGAGGAGATATGTTACATGTGCTTCTTTCTTGGCTCTGCGTATGAGGAAATCAGCGATACGAAGAAACAAACAAACGTAACATATTCTCTGGTACGGATCTCTTTACAAGAGAATATGTCTGTCGAACTACGAATTTTTTTCTCTTTTAAGTCGTCACTAATACTATGTTCAACCAGCTGTGACAGCGCGATGTACCTCAAATGGGAACATCGTCTCGCCACCTTCCTCAACATCGGAAAGATACAGGAGAAAAGATGCCATCTGCCACAATTCACGATTGAATGTAAGGTTTGGTTTCAGAAATAAGGGTACATTCTCCGCAGTGATGGTCTTCGGCCGAACTTATTGAACTTCTGCAAGCACTGATTTCAAAATTTCTTTTGAAGACTGAATATGAACAACGTATCTCATTAATAAAAAATAAGTGACATTTGACTGTACCCGTTGACTCTTTTGAGGTCCATATTCCTCTGGGTTGAACACGTCGTAGTGCGAGTTGTACTTCTGTCCGAGCTCATACCTCAGCACGTTGAATGCCTACACAGACCGAAGGTGACGAACATTGAGATGAAACGTAATCCAAACATACATCCAATTTACAACCCAAACTAAATAGGGTAGTTAGGGGCAATGAGAATATATCATTTGCCTCGCTTCAAGAGATCGACTCTTTCGACCTTGTTCTAGATAAGATCTTGTGGTGCCTACCCTCAAAGAAAGGTGTATCGCTTACGAAAACTGAACAACGTAGAAAGAAAAATCTGCTACTTCTTCAGTCACATGTATGCAAGTCAAAAGAATGAACCTCTCCATGAGCTCGCGGGATCATCGTTGCCTTCGCCATTCTCTCCTCCACCCATGCCAGTGTTCCCGTTTTATCATGACTTGCAGACAAAAATGTGCCAGAGCTGCCGAGCCAAGTATGCTCACAATGAGAAAAGTAATCGAACGGATATTTTTCATCACCTTTATACATCACAAACCAGTGGAGTTTAAACACAGAAAAGCAGTTGCTTTCACAGTGGCTTTGAAGAAAATATGATTTCGTTAAAGAGTTTCCTGAGATATCACCACTTTCCTTCATTACACTCACTACTATTACCAAGTAAGACTGAGAACCTATTTAAAATCAGGTTTTAAATCGTCTTCTGATATTCTTCCACAACACCACGAGATTTTCGTGCCTCTCAGTAGAGGCCATACAAAGGGCGTTTAGTAAAAACCTTGTGGCATTGAACAATAGCAAGGACACGTGGATCAACGGAATGCAGAAGGACACGTTCAGTCAAGTATACCTGGTTCTGACATCCTTCGTGGCATCAGCAGTCTCTCCTTTTCTTAGTGCCAGACCTGATGGCGTAAGTTTTGTTTTGGCCAGCTTGATAATAGTTTCGCATTGTTGCTTATTTGCAAATCCTGGAAACAAAAGTGCTCTTGGTTTCCAACTCAACACCTGTTTCAAATTTGCAAACCAGAAGAAGAGGAAGCTGAGAATCATCAACAAAACACACAACCTTTATCCGACAGGTTCCAGGCACAAGATCTAAACATTTCTGACTAATAGGAGGCAATTTCCAATATAAATGAAATCTATCCAGAATTCTAAGCGAAGCTAAACACGAGGATACATATAATGCATCTATATACGTGATTGGACAATCATCACTCAACCTGAAAAGGTATGACGTTGATCAAATCATCACCAGTCACTCCATGCGCTGCTTGGACTGTCTCGCCATTCTCAAGTAATTGTTGACGATGGATTCTATCAACATCATTTTCAACCACAATTTCCTGTAGCCAAAGAGAAACGTCAACACTCTGCACATCCAAGTGAGGTGTAACCAGAAACTTAGAAGAATTTGAAATTACGTTTGCAAATCATGACTTCAAGAAATCACAGATGCACGGGCTATATTGATACAACCAGCGTGTCAACTGCTTCTGGTAAGTTCAATTCGACAACCCACCCGCTTGAGAAACTTATAGCTTTAAGAAGACAACTCCCCATGGTGAAAACCAGCTTAATGGAATTATCAACCACCTCTTTCCACGACCAAGTCTCTTCCTTTCTCTCTTAACAACCTCTTCATGGTGTAAGGGAATAGGTCTGTAACCTGGAGGTTTGAACTCTTTGCATGCTTTCTACGTACCGACTAACCACAAGACAGACTCAGTTCTAAAATAGCAGTAGCAAGCATTCTTCCACACTGAACTCAAGTCATGGAACTCAGTGGTCAAGCATCCAGCGGGAATGACGACCAACCGGGCATAGCCCACGCCGCCACCAATTAATTGCAGATTGAGGATTCTGAACCCCCAATTTCAGGAGTAAGTCTAAGTTTTTGTTCTGGTCCTAACACGCGTCACATATTCAGAAAGAGAGCGAAGGTGCATACATTTTGCAACGACAGCAGAAACCACTGAGTTTTTAAGCGATCGACATCACAGAGTTTGTATTTGATCCAAGCTGACGGCTTTTGTCGACTAGCCTGCACATCACAAATTTGCTCTCTCGCTCCTTCACCTTCCCATTCTCGGGCCCCAAGCCCTCAAATGCCTTGAATCCTAGCTTCTGTGCAGGCCTGCTGAGACATATGCCTCCATGACTTCTCTGAAACACACTGAAAGCTCCGAGAAGAGACTTCCAGCAGTTCGAGCGATGCCATCAATTCGTCTACAATTAGTTTCCTACGACCATGAGCTGCGAGGCGTCGGGAGAGTCCAAATCACCTGGTTATTCGAGAGCGAGATGTAATAGCCGAGGAAAAAGAATGCCGAGCACACGAGCACAGCAATTGGTAGAGGCAGAGCGTAGCCACATCCCCTTGCTGGCCTGCCTTTATTTCCCTTCATCTTCTTGTCCGTCAGCTTGCAGCTTGAAGCAGACCAGAACTCTCTTATGCTTCTCTGGAGCGGAAAGGCGACCTCTTGTTGCTAATCCTAACTGCTATCCTGCGAGGTCTCGCAACGATCTGGTCCACCGGGACCGTTAGCAGCCAAAGATCTCCCTCTCGTGGACAGCAAGATGATTTTAACCCCAATCCGATCGGCACATCCAGAAGATGGTGGGCACAATTTCACAATGCAGAGACGCACTGCTGCTCTCTTTGGCTGCTGGAGGACAGCGACAAACATGCGTGCGACAGGGCATCCACACTCCCCGTTGTTGAAGGAAGGCCTCTATTTCGCTGCAGCAGATGCGGCGAGCGAACACGATCAGGAACTAAAAAGCCCGGAAAGAATTCCTCCCGTCGACAGAACCTCTGCTCCTGATTACCCACCGCCTTCACATGCGCGGAAAGAGACGGGCTCACAGGAATTACTAATCCAGGACGACAGCCAACAATTTCTCTACCTCCCTGATGCCATTATCGGACCACGGGACCAGCGTCTTCGCCTCCGTCCCTTCCTCAACCTCAACCCAAATGGTTCTCAATCTCCTCCCTCAGGCCGCAAGCCGGCACCAAGTCTGTGATATGCTGCAGTCCCTCAAGATATCCTATTTTATCCGGCTGTTCAATGCGCAAAAGTTGCCCCCATCAAGCTTCCGGCACAATGCAGTGCAGTCAGTCCAGTCCGGCCCGGCCCCTTCTCTGCGCTCCCAATCCTGCGGTCACATGTTCGAGAGCCTCCAGAGAATCATCGAGCGATGGATCTCACTCGCCCCACGACCGGACATAGATTGAGAATATACTGACTTTTTGGACACAAGAGCGATGAAGAAGAGAAGACAAGAGCAGAAATCGAGTGTTCACAGCCGAAACGGAGCCGCGACTGCTCTGGTTCAGTGCCGTGCCACTTTCACACTTTCACACTTGGATGGCTCGACTACTTTCTGCTGTCGCGTCGAGAATTCGCTTCGGCTTCGGATTCAGCCTCTTCTGCGACTTTCTGTCCTTCCTACTCTTCTTGCTCGTCCGGTCCGTCCACCTTTACCGAAAAATCCGATGAGCTTCATTCAGTCAGCAGATTGAGGTGGGCCTCGCGGAGCGCCAATCAGTGGCAGCGAGCCGGGCCCACAGTGAAGACGAGCGCATCGACTTTCGGAGCTCCGTCGACACTGGATCCCGAAAATTCGCTCGTAGGTGCAGGAGGAAGGGAAGGTGGTCGCGAGTGTGAAACGGGTGAGAATTCCACCCAAGGCGAGGAGGAATGCGAGCACGATTCGGTCATCGTCGTCGATTGGTCCAGAGGGGCAGGAAAATCGCGCTGCTGGAGGAGGAGGGCTGCGGTGCGAAAGCTAGCACCGGGGGACGGGAGTCCTGCATCACGTGATGGCCTGCGACGGCATGGCATTCTTTCCTCCCCTGCTTATTGGCGAGAGCTGCACCGCAATAAACTGGAAGCGCCGCGTGCATTAATGTGTCCGTAGTGCTGTACTTGCGAGCCCGGAAGCCATCATTAGCGCGGCGGTACTGCAATGTGGCTCGCCTGTACGCCTAACCGTGAAAACTTGATGTACCTTGAAGCCGTAATCTCCAATTAACCAAGAAACTCTAGGGGAGGGGAATGGGAAAGAGAAGTACATTAAATCCTCCAGATCGCTGATCTTTATTCTTGCTCGAGCACTAGCAGTGATCAGCACTTGTCCTTCCTCGTTTTCCCAAACCCTGGTACGTAAATTTTTTGTCAGAACATGAAGAAGATCGAAATAGATCTTTTCTAGACAAGAGGGTGGGTCTAGGCCATTCTTGATCACCTTCCTCGCTCACGACGGTGGTACTACTGTATTACTGCGGGCATCAGGCTGATGCGCGAACCGCCATGGCCAGATATGTACCGCATTGCAGTGCGCTGACTTTAGGTACAACGCGGTTTGCTTCTTCACAAGTGTCGACTCCCAACTTTTCGCTGCCTAAACCTACGATCCTCAGCTGTGAGAACCAGAGCCTAACCCTCACCTTCGTCCAGGAATCGACTATCTCCTTTGCAATTGCAATTGCAATCCCTCCGGTATGATCCAGCATCATGTCCTCCGCTGGCATTTGTTTCACATCGGTGTATTGCTTGAAAATAGGGCAGCCCAGGTTCTGGAGGACAGATGTTCATCTTCTCGTGTGGGTAATGAGGTCGGCGCAATCTTACGCGCCGAGTGACATGTTGCAAAGATCTGTGTTGAGTGGAAAGCATGTATCAATCAACATTCAGCGAGAAATTCTACGATAGTACATTACAGAATGTTAAGCAGTATCTACTGCTGCTTGAGAGGGTCTCGGTACAATTAGATGGGCTCTTCCATCTCCCCTAACTCTACTTTCTCGATGCATTTTTCCTTACTCGCTCTTTCCAGTTTTCAACTTTTCGTGGTGACAACTTTCAGCCGTCCAGCCCAGACACCACTTCTAAGCGGGTGTGAATTTCTTGCAAATCAGGGAGACGATGAGGACGAGCCCGTGTCTTGACAGATGAATATGTTCCATACATTACAAAGCTACACTTCACCAAGCCTGTCCTATCGGATGATTCAACCAATGTCTCAGTCTCTCGCCATGAATCGAACCAGCTTCACTCCAAGTTCATGGCTATAATTCCAGTGAAGCGCTACATGTAGCGCTATTAAAGCTTTTATTATACTCCAGTTCTACTGCCGCTCGTGTAAATTTTGAGATTTCATGGGTCCATTGGCGCAAACCTGAAAGGGTCTTGGCACGAAATTACGCGAATTGCTGAAAACGTGAGCCGACCCACAGAACTCGTCGGTGGAGTGATCCTGCTCATAAACAGGCTTATGTGCGATCCCACTCTTCACGCAACGCAGTCGAGAGACAAAACGTGGTTGGGTCCGGCAACAAAGCTGGTCGGTCGGCCATTATTCGAAGCGTGCAAGCTTTGGAAGAAGAGGAGAGAACGAGATTGACCAGATTTCGACCTAAGCGTGATCCTCGAGAAATGTCTATGGCTGATGGCCAGAACATGACGAGATATTAATCAGGTAGATTCTGGAGAGATTCGACAGCGATATCTCAGGAACATGCACGCGCATAGGGTTTGACTGTCGGATTTTCGTTTCGTGCCGCGCAGTTCCAGATCCGTGTCCGTTGACACATTGCCTTCGGCGTCCTGAAATCCAGGGACTTCAGAAATATAAAGTTCGGAGGTTTGGCAAACTCCTTCAGCTTGGCCTGCGACCTTTTGGTCTGAGAAGATGTGCAGCTCAGTGACGGCAATTTTGACAAAATAAATCCGAGGAATGGAAAGAGAGAAAGGAGCGTATTCTGTATTCACGAGCTATGGATGGATGGAAGCGCTATTCCTAGAGCTCTGATTGTACACTGGAGCTCAATGTGCAAAATCTGACCACAAGTCTTTCGCCTCCCCTCGTGCACTGAGAATGGTTTTGGCCTCGATGTCTCTGCTCCGGCTGCCCTTGTTACGGCATCTCGGCCATTATGGTGGGGAAAAGCATCAAAAGACAATGCTTCCCGAGAATTGAATTGAATCCATCGCCAGAGCATAGGTACCTTGCTTGCTTGAAGGAGCTCCCGCAAGATACCGACTGATTACCCCATCCCCTTCGACTACGTCGTGACTCAGTTCCTGAGGTAGAAAACATGAGCAGAGCAGAGCAGAGCATGAGTGCATGATGCCCTTGAACAGCGATGCGTGACACCTTACGCGGAATGTGGGTGAGAAATTCTCACTGAGCAAGTGACACCAATCTCTGCACTCTCTTCGATCGAGATGACGAAAGGGACAAGAGAAGAGTCACATTCTTGTTGGGGTTTGAATTCATGGTGGTGAAAGAGACGAGAGCTTACAATCTGAAGTCAAATCAATGTGAATGAATATGAGGAGGGCTTCTATGAGAACCCCCAGCAACGAGGGTAACAATACCCCGGCCTTGAAAGTACAGTGCCCTAAGTCTAAAGGTTCGAGCCTTATGCACTAAAACTAGGTTACAATTTACAGCGACACAAAGACAGTGATCGACACCTGCTGCCTCACGTGATTGATCTACTCTGCGACGGAAGCTCGACAAATGCCTCGGGTTTCCAGCTATAGAACAACTTCCGTGTCATTACACAGTTGTGTACTCAATCCCTACAGGTGCTGGTTCAAAGTCCAGCGCAGCGTCTGCAACCTTGGGATCCATTGTCGGCAATCTCTTGTTGAGCTCGGTCAGAGCAGGTCCAACCTCACAGATTCGAGCTGAGCACTGTCTTCCGGACAAGGTAGCTCCCTCCATACTATCAATGTAATCCTGCATAAACCAGACGTATACATGAAAAACTTCTGTACTTGAAGGTCGAAGCCTCGATGGTAAGATGCATATGATGAAACCAAACCAGGTCACTGGACAAACGACTTGACAATTGATGGACGGGCAGGATTTGGTTCCATGGTGGAGGTAATTACCTGTTTTGTGTAAGAACCTGCTAAGAAAAAGTTGGGAATTGGAGTTTTCTGATCAGGACGGAAAGGATCCATTCCTGGAGCTTCTCTGTATAAAGACTGACCGATCTTTACCACGGATGACCATGTCATCTCCAACCCTCGGGCTGAAGGGAAGAGGTTCATAACCTGCATGTAGTTCCACCTTCGAGTTTAAGCATGATACATGGACATGGGAGTGAGTATATGACAAGAAAAAACATTCCAGAACTTTCATCCACTTATAAGCGGACAGCTACTTCAGTCAGATTCATGGTGCAGTTGTGAACCTGTTCGTTGACTTTCTCCACAATCTTGTCATTCGTCAACGGCATATACGGATCTCCAGGCGTGAGTACCAGCCTGTTTGAATTGGCAGGATTTTGTTAGTTTCTGTGTGGAGTACACCCGCATCGCTGTGAAAATGACGACACACATTTTCGATCAACAGCAACAAAATCACCGAATGCGCTGGGATCTATCCCCAATTATGAATCAAGGCTTGTTCGGGTGCGTACTGCATCAGGGAACCTTCACCAGGCTTGTAGTAATCCAGTGGAGATGTCAGGGCAAGATCAGCAAAACAGGAGAAGTCGGCATCGGCTGAATATAGCAGATTGTCCATACCCTCAGCTCGTTTCAACTGCCTGCGCAATGAGACATTTACGCTTTCTAGTTAACTCTGACTCGCAACTTGCTCGACAATAACCTCAGTCACATAGCTCCGCAACTCATGTACAGATCAAGCTCACTTTACTCGAAGGTCTCAAGATTGAGATCTTACCTTGATTTCTCGATATCTTGCATTTCGGTCACCCAACCGTTGTATCTAAGTTGCACTGTCACAACTGGAACTCCAACCAGCTTATAGATGTTGTCAAATGATTCATACTCACGCCATTGAGCTGGTAGCAATCTCTTGATTCCGGGAATATCGAGAGCTGTGATACGTTGAAATATATGGATCAGCTAGGAAAAGATCTCAACCAGATATTGCAACACTCGCTTCGATAATCCACCTGTCAACTTGCTGCAATGGTCTACACAGACTTTCACAATGATCGTATCCCCCGCAACAACACTCAGGAACACACGGGGATTTCGAACAACGCTATCAAAATCTGAAATTTAAGGCAACCCGACGCAAGATTACCAAACTTTTAATGACGGAGTGTTGTTTACCAGCAACGTAAGCGTCGGCGGTCACGATCTTCTTCTCCGTAGCCTGGACAAACAACACTCCATGAGGTCGTCTATATAATTAATCAAGGATAATGATCATCAACCTTGTTTTCTTCATTTGCATCTGGAGTAAAAGGAACTTTCACAACAGAACACACTCGCAATACTAACTGCAGCATATTCAGAAAGGCGTATGGCATTATACGGCAACTCTGGCAGGAATGCTTATGCTCAGAGACACCTCGAAGAAGGAACGACAGAATCTGTGTTTCTCCAAAACCCAGGATATCTTCCCTAACACGACTTCTCAATGACACGTGTTTCCAAAATGTGTTTCATACTGTAAATACGTGTTTTACCTTTGACATCACAAATCCAGACACGAAGGGTGTTCCATCTTCTGTACGATCATACAGCACTTCTCGGCAACCCCATCTTGTGTGGATTCTGCATTTATCCAAGGAATTTCAACGGACGAATATTTGCGAAACAACTAAAGAACCTCAAAAATAAGCCTCAAGAAGATCTATCGCGCTTGATTTTCACACAGTCTAGCACATAATATCACAACAGCTGCCATCTCCTAAACTGATAATTTCGATATATGCGTGATTCAATAGCAGGAAAAGCTTGTAAGGAGATTTCAGCGGATTTCGTAAAGAGAAGCCCCTTGACCAACCTGCCACCCTTATCCTTGATGTACTGACTGATGGGTCCGCTGAGGCGAAGATCAGGAGATCCATTTAGCATGCGCAGAAGTGATGCTTCGGTTTTGGTTGCAAAGAAGGCAAAAATTGTCAACATACAACGAGCACTGATGTTGTCACAGTCGATGAAGCCCAAGGCATATGCAATTGGATCCCACATTCTTTTGATGCTAGAACGGTTCCCACCATGGCCGATGAACCAATCCGAGAAACTTATCTGAAGAAAGCAAAGTTGCACTTTAATTAGTCCCTTAATTGTTGAGCTACTCAGGTTGAGTGACAAGAGGAAATTGCTGTTGATGAATCACCTCATCTAGGTTACGAATGTCCCGCATTGCGCCTTCTGGATCGACAAGGGCCCTCACAACTGGACTGGTTGACAGAGCCAACGCATTTCTGATCTTGTCATACAGCTGCACAGTCAATGCAGGGTATTGCGTTATTACACAATAACCTTAAGCATAAAGAACACTTCATATAACCACCAGAGGCCAGCCCTCGTTCCCATCAAAGAACAAGCTTCAACAGGCCCTGATCATATTCAGCTTCCGTAAATTGATACCACTTACCCCGAGCTGATTTGTTGTGGCAAAAGCTTTCAAACCGTGGAAAGGAGCACCCACCAAAAATCTGAAATCCAGCTCTGTACAATTACAGAAACAAGTAAAAAAAGTGTGGAATACTCACAAGATGTACGGAACTTCGAAACAGTGATCAATTCTATGGTCGAAGAAAGACAGTTGTTCAACTGCGTGAAAAAAGATAAAAATCATGGGCCTAGTATATAAATGAAATTTCCAGTCAAATCTCGGACTGTTACTTACCACCAACGTTTCCACCTTTGTTGATGAAGGTGTGAGTGTGGTCTTTCACCAACAAATTGTCGTCACCACCGACCTACAGGACACCCGATCCAATACAGTCGAGTCAGATAAGTTGACTCTCATGCCAATACACTGTTGAATGAAGTCAAGCATCGTAGTAAGCATACTGGCCCGGAAGACCTTGAAATTAAAACACAGACTGTGTCCGCTACTCTCAAGGAGCAAACCTTGGTCAGCAGTCGGAAGAGATTGTTGTAGCAACCAAAGAAGACGTGGAGACCCATTTCAATGTGGTTTCCTCCCTTGTCCACGTACGAACCTACTTTGCCACCAATAAAAGGTCGAGCCTCATATATATCAACCTGGATAGAACACATATGCCAATGATTTAACTTATCGGGCCAAGGACGAACAGCAGATCAGATGTATTTATCGCTCCATAAGAGCTGAGCCACTGGCCTATCCAGTCGGTAACAAGCATCAACATTGCTATAGCGATCTAAGGCAACAATTTTCACGACAACTGTGATTGCTCCTCCACCAGACTATATCACGGTATTGGTCGAGCGCTTCTGTACACGAAATCCGCTCCCTACAATTCATCTATGAAAACTACTTCTCGACACAAATGTGGATTAGAACATATTCCCGACCTCGTGTCCTTGATCCAGAAGCTCGACAGCAGTCGACATACCGGCCAGACCACAGCCAATAATGGCCACCTTCAGCTTCGGCCCGTTGTACTTCTCGGGCTCTGGAGGAAAAAGGCCCTTGGGAGCTGACAGGTCAAAGGCAACCACAGGCGGATTCAGCATGAAATTCAATGAGAGGTCAGATTCTTGAACAGACTTCACTTCACGTCGTCCTAAAATTCATTGATGAGTGAACAGCCTAAGAAGGTCATTGACCTCACGTTCCGCAACTAATATCTTCATCTCTACGGACCAACCATGTATAAACCCGTTTTCCTACAGCCTTATACATTTTGTAACCTGATATTCTTTGATTTAAGCAACAATTCGGAGACACTTCAGTCTCGAAAAGCTGAATATCACTCCTGAAAACAATTCGAGGTTCAATTGTTTCTCAAAAATAATCTTCTACAACTGATCATGTTTGCATACTTGCAAAGTCATGCCCGATCCGACTGTAAAACCTGTAAATGAACTGACTTTGAAGAGAAGCCATAATGTTCATGATACAAGAATAGTATCACGAGAATTCGTAGCCAATGACCTCAATGGAGAAGCAAAGCTGAGACGTTCGTAGAAAATTTCGTACTGGGCCATATTGTTCACACACTTTTTATTGGAAAGAATTGGGGGCATCATCCTCGTGGTTTCAGACGACGCAGAGGAGACGTACCTGCACGGCTCATGTCCGAGACCATAGATTGCAAAGAGCTGGAGACTCGAAGGTGTACTCTTCTGGTGGACTTGGCTCCATATCTGCTGCAGGATCTAAGTGATACGGGGAACTTGTTCAGAAATTGGGTGGACAGAAGCCCCGGTTTCGTGCACTGCGAGTTGGTGCATGCAGAGGGAGGGCTCGCCATAGCCGCAGCAGTGGTCATGGTCGCGCCAATTGCTGTACCCATTCCACTATTTGATCAAAAGTTGAGAAAAACCTCTCTAGAAGCTTGCAAAATTTAGCTTCTCATAGCTCAACCAGAGCTGCCCTGAAATCCCCCGCCTACTTTTCGTCAGTTCAAGCCTCTAAACCAATTCTACAGCGGCAGCGTTCCACTACAATCCTCAATTCTTCAGAAAACCTCGTCACCTGCGAGCCAGAATCAACACATTGAGTGTCAGTCGTCACTTCTTCATCTTAAGTGACATATTGATAAACAACTCTCACATAAGTCAACAGCAGAGTCCTTCAGAGCCACATGGGGGAGACCCCCAAGGCCACAGGAGCTGCCGGTCTCTCCGCCCTGCGAGACACTTGTGCGTGCACAGTATACAGACGTACATAGTACGAGCTCCCGCATGGGAGTCAGAGAGATTTGCCCCGATTCAAAATATTCCTCCCCCAACAATACAATACTAAAATCTCGCCCTCTCAATTCACACTCTGCACAAGCCCCATCCATATACAACTCTCGAATTGCATGCCTCCCAGCCAGCGTGCGTGCCTGCCATTCGCTCGCCTCTCGGAATATCCAACACGAAATTGACGCCTACTCTACCACGGCTCCCCAGAGCAGTCGTAACATCCGAATCCCGAGAAAATCTTGTGTTTCACCTCCAAACGGCACTAGAGCTAACGAGCACGAGCACGAGCACGAGCATCCCAACCCGACTTACCCAAACGTGCCCTGTCCGGAGAAAGAAAGACTCGTCGTCGAGGCCACCCCCACCCTCGACAGTCTCACTATCTCGGAGAACGTGGCTCTATCAGTCCCTCTCTCCCTCCAGACACTCCCCGAGCTAAAGCTGATCTTGCCAGAGACGAGACAGGAACTCGAGCCCCCGCCCGGCCAACGGAGAGAGCAGAACAGAGGAGAGAGTAGTGGGGAAGGAGGGGACTCAAGCCGCGTTGGCTTGCAAACCAGTACAGTACAGTATATCCAGAAAGTGAGGCCCAAACCACATCCGCCCTCGAGCTTCCCCCGGCCCCGCACCGGCTACAAGGCGCCCCTGCGTCTTTAGAGCGCAGCCGTCTCCAAATTCCCGGACGCTCTACTCTACTGTACAGTACTTCCATGCCATCAAACGCGGACAAGGGAACTTATCCCGCTCCCTAGCCCTCCCCCAACCCCAACCCCAACCCCTTACAACCCCCTTCCCGGTCACCGTCCTCGTTCCCGGTCACTATCCTCTCGTCGTCACCGGGTCGTCCGTCGTGGCTCGAGGGAGAGATCTGGTTCGCATGTGAGAGTATCTGGACGCCACGAGGGCGCTTCGAATAAGAAGAAGAAGAAGAAGAAGATGGTGCCTTTGGACATCGCTCTCGTGCGATCGGCGTTCGGCGTCCAGCGGCCGAAGGGAAGGATTGCGTCCGGCCTCTGATTCGCGAACTATTCTCGCGATTTCACCGAGTTCTGATTATGATGGTCACTGTGCGCCGACACGGGATTGCAGAAGCGAAGGAATCGTCCGACGCCACCCATGTTCCATATCCCCCGTTTGACTCGACATCGCTTTTGCTTTATTGCTCGGGGACTCTCTCTCTCTCGTCGACCGGCTTGTCAAATCTGTCTGTGGTCCGATCCACGAGATCCGATGCCCCTCGCCAATTCTGGTTTCTCAAGCATTTGCTGCACTTTGCGTCTGAGTCTTTGGTCAACGAGTGAATGCACGCTCTGCCCTTTTCTCTTCGAGATTCATGCGTATAGTGACAAATGAGTATGAAATAAATACATCTTTTATTCTATAATTTAATGTGGTCAATTTTTTATATGATTCCATATTATTTTCGAATATTTTTTATACATCTGTGTTGTTGCTTATGGTTTCAAATGAAATTGTGTATTATTTTGTTTCACTTCAGATTCTGGTATATATTGAGATTGTATGCAAATGAATGGCTTAGGATCCATTCCTCCACATGTGATTTGTTTCTCTTCATTCCTGCAAATTCATTGCAAAATATTCATGCTCTTCATTTCCACATGTGACGGATAATTACTAGAAGTCAAATGTCTCGTGATCAACGAATACCTTGTGTATCTGCCACGATTACTCTGACTCTGCAGTGCTGTATACTTAATACATCTTTCACGTCATGCACGTGGGCATATCCATAGGAAAAATACGTTGATAGTCAAATCCAAATAAAAATCTCAAAAGAAAGTCGCTTTTGTGTTTAGGAATATCTAACATGTTGTGTCATTCACCCAAAATTATCCTAGTATCGCTCGATCCAAATCACTGAAATTTCTAAAACCCTTGTGAATTATAAAAGGGTTACATGGATGGATCTAACGGAACAGTTAACATATGTTTTGGAATCAAAACATAAACTCACAGTTATGTGCTTCCTCTGAGGTTATCAAATTATGAAAAAGTATATAAACATATGATTATAAAAAAAAGAGTGTATTCAAATAAACTAATCACATATTGAACTCTATAATGCAGGACTCTTAAAATTTGGCAATTTATTTTTAGATGCCAGAATTGCCAAAATTAATTTGGTCAATTTGCCAAATTTAATCCGGTCAAAATTCCATACATCATATGAAATTTTGTCTATGGCAAATTTGGCAATTTAAAAAATCCAGGAATAATAAATTAGGGTAGGATTGTGTTTTCAAGAAATAACCCGTGAGTGCAAGAAGTAAAAGAAGTAATCAGAAGTAGAGAGCAGATTGCACACAAAAGAAAGAGCAGAAGTGAGAAAATTACAGCTCACCGTACATTTCAATTAATTTATTTTTCTCATTTCAGTTCATTTTTTTAGCATGTTTGTTTTGATCATTGTGACTATTTTTTTAACTGTAATACAAGGCACCAAGTATATTTCATATTTTTCCTTCACTTTTTCATTTTCATAGCATTTCTATAGCATGTTTGTTTTGATCATTGTGAGTCTTTTCTTGGCTAGATTATAAAGTCCAGGTACATTTCATATTTTTTTCATTCATTCAACGTTTCAAAATATCACATCTGATGAAAGCGACTTCTTCATGATCAAATGAGAGAAATTTGACTCCCGCACCAGCCTTACGAGACTTTCCTTGGCAGGTATTATACATGCGCAGCAATTCAAACGATTATCGCCAAAGCATGGAACAAAAAATATGAAATTACAGTGTTGATGCCAGAAATGCCAGAATTAAGTAAAAAAAAAAATTCCAGAATTATTTTGATGTTGGCAACCCTGGCATTTGCCAGAATTTAGTAGGCCTGCTATAATGTCAACATGACTTCCATTTTACCTGATATTATCAAACGATCAAAATTCAATGATTCATACACAACAGAAACACTCAACGAAACAACATCTAATTTGATTTCTTTCCCGTATATAACACTAAGTAATGCTATCTACAGAAAATTAGAAGAGATTTCTTTCTACCATGAAACTAATTTCGTCACAAACTTTGACATTTGGATTTGTTTTTGAAAGTGGAGAAGAAGTATATTCAGAAATGAAAATAAAAGATTACTCAACAGAGTCATTCAAGAAAGTCCACATGACCAAGAGAATATGCTTAACTCGAATCTCTATATATGAATCATGCAAGCCCGAAGAAATATTTAGACAAGTTTTATTTTTTCCACATGACCAAGAGAATATGCTTAACTCGAATCTCTATATATGAATCATGCAAGTCCGAAGAAATATTTAGACAAGTTTTATTTTTTCCTTACATCACACCAAGACCAAGGACACTTGATCAACGTGGTGTTTTGAGATTCAGATTTGCATGTTGGAAACTGATGATTGTTGAGGTGATGAATGATGTAAGTTTGAGTATAAATGTCAGGTTATATCGACTCCTACTCCTCCCTATTTATCAAGTTGGTATTTGCATTTTAAATAAGGACGTTGCATACACACTAGACATGCATGTCTTAGGGGAATTCATACATGTGAGTTGTTGGTTTTACAGAGAGTCATCATGTTCATCACCATGGAATGAAGCGTATGATTGAGCCATCAGAACATTACTGGTCTTGGCTTGCTGTGACAACCAAAACAATGTTATCTAAATGTGAGAGTGTTGTATCCTCAATCTCGGAATCCCGATTTTATTTCAGATTCATTCAATCAATACAAGCATAATTGTTTTGGACAATTTTTTCTTTGCCCAAGTATTGATCAATAATTCTATCTTAATCCACTGAATATATGATTTACGTAGATTCTTTTGTCCTAGAATGTACCTCCGCACAATCTGATTAGTCTTTTCAAGTGGAAATGGCACATGGGGACATTAGTAATTTAGTTGTTAAGGTACTAACAGAGTATTGAAGATAGTCAGGTTCCTCAGGACCATATTTGTTTTAAAGAAGCGAGGAGAATCTATCTCTCCATCCTTACTCATTCTCGAGAGTAAAGGTATAATGGATATATTTTAGATTTAGATGGTTCTTTAGATATGCATCAACATTGGATATTCATGTTGTTAGACTTCCAGCAGTTATTGAATAGCGTTTCATGTTTTATCAACACGTTCATGTTGTTTTATGTAATTTCATGACGCAAACAGCCAATTGCCAATGGAAATTATAAGATTCAAATGGATCATATATTTCCAATGTAGGATGCAACAGATTATATCCTTTTGTGCAGCCTAAAAGCATATTAGTAGATCACTCTATTCACAATGATACAGCGATTCACTATTGGTTTTGTTATGCTTAGTCAAATGCACATTTACAGTCATACTTTAGGAGTACCAGAATTTCATATGTGCCTCGTAGAGATCATCACCAACTATCTGATAGTAGATTTATCACTAGATATGATAAAATAGTGGCAAAGACTGATCAGTTTTAGTGTAGTGTTTTGAGGATCTAGAAGTTACTTGTGCACATTGATCAGTTTAATTAATCCTTGAGTATAAAATTTGCAAGTGCCAAGGGTTTAGTGGAAGTAAGAACTGGACTTATTAGAGGTGGTGCGTGTTCAAGACATAAACTACCTCATCCCGGATCTGGGAACAAATTTCTTCAAAAACGTGCTCAGCACAAGACTGAGCACGTTGTACATACTGTTGCTTATTCACACATCGCTTCCTAGGTACATATTACAAAACCAAAACCACATCGCATTACAAGCATGAGTGGCATGAGCGAAGTGGATCTTTAGAAAGGCTTGGCCTAATATACCTACACCTAACAGTTGAGGCGTAGGTCTAATAAGGGTTTAGGGTCAAGTGTAAGAAGCCGCGGTTTCTTTCTCTCTTACGCTTCCGCTCAAGATGTTACTTCCCTTTCAGCCACTGCCCTTTCGCTCTACCTTTTAGTGGATTATACTTTCATCGTCTTTGGCTTCCACTCCCCGGTTTTACTCTCTCAAAAGTGAGGGTTCACTGAAAATTCATGATCTTGGAGCATCCCGAAAACATTTTTGACAGGGGTTCTCAAAACATCCAATGCCTCGAGTTTTCCAAGAGCATCCCACCTGAGTTACTTCTGCCAGCCACGAACACGGCATATAGAAAGAACAGTGCCATTAAGCTCGTACTTGAATTTATGACACCCAAATCATCACACAATTGATCCTGCGACTCTCGACGAGTTTGCAATCATATAACACATAGTACCGCAGGTTTTCTGCAAGGCTGGAGGGTGTACAGAACCAGCTTCCTCGAACACAAGGAAGAAACAAACAATAGATTGTACACACACGGCGGAGACATGCATGTTTGCTCATAACAGACATTGACATGTGAGGCATTCACATGGCACTGAATGACCTACTTGCTTGTTTCACCAACTTACAGCTCATACCACAGGAGGACTATCCTCAACCACAGCATCAAATATTGCGAAGTTCGTCGGCGCAAAGGCATGACCTCTCTCCCTATACTCCATAATGATAGCAAACGTGGTCACTAAACCTGCCCTGGAGATTGAAAAATCTGCATTTACAGCATGAAAACCGAACCCACTACAGTACTATATAGCCCACAGCTACGCCTCTGGTTTCCCTGATTTCCTTTCATCGGTAATGTACATTTCAATGGTAAAGGAGGCTGATCTGTAATCAACTCAGCCTAAGCTACTTCTGCGTCCAGTAAACTAAAGCCACCATTAACAGAGCTTCCTGACATCCCATTGTGATCTGTATACATTGCCTGCTTGCCTGACAGTTAACTAGCATGCTAATGGTCCCTACCGGTTGATCTACAATATAACGTTGCTCGCTTGCATCCAACGAAAAGGTGCCAATGTTACCATGAAATCTGAACGGCACTTGAAGCCCATCAATCACACAAGTTACAACAATGGTAACTTCCAGGAACATTACAAGCCTGCCAAAACCTGCTCTCTTGGTCAAAGTGTTCTTCACACTGGTGAAAGAATGAATATGAATGCCCATCATCATGTTGACTAAGCAGTTACTCCACACGGCCTGATGCAAACGGAGTGGGGAACATTTCAGACCCACGTCAGAAATCAAATGGTGGTTGTTTCCTTCTTGAGTTTGGTCCAATTAACAGCGGCATGAGTAAAGCAGACTAGTCCCTGCCCTGACGGTGACAGGGTTGGTCTGTCTTTCCCAATCAATGGAGAGAACTGTGTTATCACAGACTTCAAAAAGGTGCTTCAAGTGATTCATCCCATACTTCTGCACTGCCATTAGAAGCATCCTCACCGTCTTCCTCCATTGACAACCGAATGTATTCTTGGTGCGCAAAGCGATCCCACTCTGTCAAACTTGGATCCTCTCTCTCCTAAGGGGCATGAAAGACAATTTGAATAACACGTCAACAACCACAAGGGCATAAAAAAACAGTGTAAAGAAACGTTCCAAATTGAAGCAAGATGATTTGTTCCCACTACCTGGAGCACCCTTTCTGCCACTAGTTAAACGCAACAACCGAGAGCTGATTCTCAAAACAATTCTGTGACGTAGTGGATGTAACCTTGTGGCGACAAGTTTTAAGACATACCTGTCGAATTAGAAACGGATCACGAGTTTCAAACGCCACAAATTTATTTAAGTTGAAGAGGATGTTGAAGAAGTTTCCAGAGAGTTTGCAACGCTTGAGATCGCGTAGTGTCAACTGTCCTTCTTTCTGCAATCAAAAACCACAAGCAAGAATATTTTCAGTGCACAAATCACATTATACTAGTACACATTGGTGTCCAGTGATGTTCAACACATGCTCATATAACTAAGTTCGTCAGGTTCGGAATACGCGCGATTAGGATCTAGCAGTAGGACTAGAAATAATAGTAAATAGAAGCATCTATCGAGAGTTGAAAAATACGGACAGCAAACATTACTATATCCCGCGGCTACACATAGGGGACGTTACACATTTTTGTATGAAGCATCACAAAGCAACAGTAAATTGTACTTCGTGCTGCAACAGCAACACACCTCAGGACAAATCATGTCTGCCATTTGGCAGACAATATCTTCGAAGAGAACACGTTCTTGTGCCATACACTCCATTCGGTGCAATTGCTCTTCGTAAAAATACTGCATCTCGTTAGGTGTAATGATGCCATCACCATCCAGATCTACACACTTGAACCTGAAATGAAGATTTGGAAAATTGGTGACAATAGTCACAGAAAAAAAATTACTCCAAAAGATGCAAACAACAATTTCCAATATTTAAAACCCCTCCGGACAGCTTCAATTAGCACTTCCCTTTCATTAAGTCGACGTGCTTTACTCTTTTTTCTAAGTTTCAGCTTTTGACCAATCTTCCTCTAACTTTTCAGAAGTATTCATTACTAGAGAGTTTAGATGTCAACTGTTATGGAATGAAACTTTGCTTGAAAAACCTAGAGACCGAAAATACTATGGAATACTTGACTTCACGTACATCGAAAAAACGAACCAGAAAGGAAGGACAGGGATCTAAATTATTGAAAACGGTCAACTACACAAGAAGTATAAAAAGATTAGCAATTTCCTTTCATTAAGACTGACCTAACTTCACGGTTGCTTTTCGTCATCGTCCTTCACTTGGGACATGTTGACCAAATTTATACTCTATACGGTCTTTACTTCATTCAATTGCTCGGCAATATTATTAAACACTTCGTACAAGTGGCAGGTAGATTTCATTCAACTCACGGGAACTCACCAGTATTCAAGACTGGGTTCTGAGGACTTGTCCTCCTCGGACAAAATAAACCACACAAAATCCTCGTATCCCATCTTGTTGGCTACTGTGCTCGTAAACTTTCTTGGAACCTGTAAAACTAAAGGCAGATCGCCACAGATTCGATTTAGAGTACGTTCAAAGTTCACGCTTCCAAATCTTGTCATGGTAAATAATGTTTTTGAAACTGCTGCGGCTAAGTGCTACAAAACCGAAAGACTCAATAATCACTAACCAAACCTAACACAAATACCTGGGAGAATATTCTTTCAACTATTCGGTATGTCAAAGCATGATTGCCATAGCGAAGAAGATCATCCTTATCGATAAGAAAATCGTGATCAGTGTCCAGTTCCCAAAACTTGCAGTAGATCACGTAGAAATGTTCATAAGAGAAGTACCTGCATGGTTGCCGCCACATTCAGCAATAACAAAGATGATAATCACACATATTGTATACTTAGTGAGAAAACACCCGTTTCTCAGTATTCGACTCCCAGCCAAGTTTGAATCATTTTAAAAACAGGATCAAGTCATGTCCACGTACTTCAAAACTTTATTTATATCCTCCTCTTCATCAACTTGTTGTAACGCCGTAACGAGATTGCTGCGCTTGAGCTCTCTTAGTTGGAGTCGCCCGTTTCCTGATCTGTTTATGTGGTAAAATATTCTGTATATAACCGTCTCCGCTGTTTAAAAAGAATATAGGTACAATTCCACGTCAGGAAAGGAATGTTTAAAATCGAAAACTGTGCAAAAGCAGTTATACTAGAATGGTGAGCTTGGTGAACTTACCATATCTTTCTTGAAACTCAGGTGTATCATGCAGAAACTCTAGACCATGATGGGTCAAGAGCAGTTCTCTGAGGATTGGCCTAAAGTCATCCTGGGTAACATAAGCGTGAAATAATAAGTAAACAGAACGTTATCCGCTGCTATTATACGAGGGTCAATGGACACCAAACCATTTCTCCTAAAACATATCTCAACACTGATGCAAAACGAAGGAGTTGGAAAGATCACCTGCGTGAGATAGTTTTTATCTGGTTGTTTCAACACTTGGAAAACTCTAGTCACAAGGTCTGTTGTGAGCATATTCTTCTCAGTCCAGTATTTAAGAAACTGCTCCCTACAAAAATACAAAGATTTAAATGATAACAACTCCTGACACTTGATTGATAATTACGTCGGGAACTATGCTCTAATCAAATCACCAGCGGAACTTTGCCATCAATCTTTGCAGAATCGTAGTTGTAGAGCTAATGATATTAAAACAAAAACAAAAACGCAATACATCAAAACTGGATTCTCGTTGCAGAGAATGCCATGAGGTGGGTACACAGTACACACTTACTTCGTAATAAGTCCAGTATTATCTGTATCAATCTTCTTGTAAAGGGAGCTCGAAAAGAAAGACGGAAGCTTGCATACATCCTTGGTCACACATGTGAATGCTGTCACGCAAAGAGTGAATGTTCAGATACGCCCAAGAGGTAAAATAAATTAGTATGCTTACACGACAGACTTGATACGTTTTGAGTTAGTTATTGATCTCGTTCAGATCTCCGGACAACAATAACCTTAAACTTCAAATTACCTGCAATAGGAAGACCATCCGGATGACCAAAAAAAAGTTTGTCGATTTTCGCTAAGCACTCCTCTTCAACTTCTTTTGGAGCTGGAGGACCATGAGGGAAGTAGAACTGAGTGCACAAACAGAGGAGTTAATTGAATACGCGCTTAACCTTTATCAAAAGGCCCTGATCCTCGTTACGAAACACAGATTCATATGCCCTAAGTGATTCTTGCTAATGTCGGCAAGATTTGCTTGCTAGATCCTTATGATAAAGCATTTTGAAAGTTTTGAGGACCGTAATTGGGGTTGCAGATAATCGGACGTCTCAACCCTTTCCAAAATAAACGTTGACGGGAGCTCAAGTGATTTGGTTCAATATTTGTCTCAGACATAAATCCCAGTCTCTTTTGAGGAAACTCTGACTCTGAATTGGTCGATTAGATTCCATTACCTGCGGAATAATTTCTTTCACAGGTTCACTTGTCTTCTTCAAAGGAGACCCTGTAGCCGTTGGTCCAGATCCAGTTCGCTTCATGGGTGATTTTGGGGATAGAGGGGAGCCAGCCGTACTTCTGGGTGACAGTGGTGGGGTATTTCCTGCAGGAAACATTGATGGTAGCAATGATGCGGAGGCTCCCGTGCTCCCATTGCTAGGACCTCCGGGAACCGACAAAACTACTCCCGCTTTGACATCTTCTAGAAGCGATAACACCTGCATGCAATAAAATATAAACCTTAAGCAAAAGGAAAAAGACAGAATATGACGTAAGAAAGGAAATATTTAGACCTCTAGATAGCTTATTCTCTCTCAATACCCCTCCTTTCCCAAACAAAAGAGCTACCACTGCGAACTACATCATTTCACTCATGATCAGTATATAAGAATGCAATCAATTCCACGCTTAATCAATGTGTTTCTCCCAAGATCAGTATATAAGAACGCAAGCAATCTACAGATAATAAATGTGTACGGATACTCAGAACGGGCTTTATTAAACTCAAAACAACTTACATACATAGACAAAGTAATGGGAAAGTAGAGAACGTCTAATCCCACTCTGCCTTCAGAGCAAGGAAACAAATTTACATTGGAATAACCCACTGTTTCTCTGTTCCGATAATTAACCAGCTGATAGGAACGTTCAGAGAACTGCAAAATTGGAGCGAAGTCGTCCTCTGAGTTCGTGAATCAGAGTCTTCATAGCAAGCGATGTGCCCAGTCTGCTTTCTTTAAATACAAATGCAGTCGACAAGTAGATCCCAAAAGAAGCCTCACACCTCGCCAACAATAAAATATATATTTCATCTGTCCATTTAGTCAGTTGTAGTCTCAAACCATGACGGCCCTAATTGGGCACACAATGCTCGAAGCCAAGTGGAATAGACGTCCATATCTACAGAAGAAGATGAAAGAAAATTCAAGGCACAGAGGGTCCATTGGAAGGAAAAAGACCGCTCGTCATCGTGCTCTTCGTGAAATTCAGCTCGTTGCTACAGTCACATCATGCACACATAGTTGTGTGCACACAACGTACATAGCAAACCATCAAAGGAGACGCATGGAGTAAAAAACGTGATGAAGATTCAGAAGAGTACAAACCAATAAAGCGAACATATCGCGCTATTCAAAGAAATCACTGTGGAGGTTCGAGGCGTTCAGATTCGAGGCCCACCCGCTTCATCAAATACAGACATCACACATCTCGATTCACAAAGACTTAGACGCATGAAGTCTGTTGTAATGTTCGTATACGCTGCCAAGTTCATCGCATAGACACTACTGAGCTGAAAGCGGAATATAAATATTAACAGTATATGTGTGGAAATTCCAGGCCTCTAAATTCATAGCCCACAGGCTTCATCGCAGGCAGACAGAACCCAACATGTCAATATCCGTACACATAGTCGCATGGTGCTCATTGATGACACTTGCACAACGCCGGCTTAATTGTGTACGGTTTGGACTCGGTAGAATAGCCCGCCATGGCAAACAAATTGTTGAAAATTAATAAAATAAAGTATATATCTCGCGCAAACGAACTAACATATAACATACTTCATCATCCAAATGTGGCACTAAACATGTAGAACAAAGCATACCTGACGTAGTTGTCTGGGACATAAACTGATAAGTCGTGTCTGGGACATAAACTGACGAGCGAAAGGGTTTATGAAGGCGATGCTCTGAGCTAAAAAGGCTTACTCGTAGTCAAGGAAAAATTACTAGCCTTGCAGCAGTAGGTATTAAAACAGCCTTAAAACAAAGTATACCAAGACTACACTACTGATAAGATTCAATAGAAGTTCTCGCGCCGTGATGGTCTACAAACCCACAATTTGGAAAGTACAAGTAACAGAAAAGAAACCATGTTTAACAGGTTTCTACAATTTACAACATATGTTAGAATTAGTTTGATCTTGAGTACATGAACTGAGCAGAGGTCTTTAGTTTCTTACTCCGGAACTCAAGTTCAACCATTACTTAGCGGCACTTATAGTGAGAATTCTTCGCAAGTTGGCAGACATCAAAGACTCTCACCGCTTAAAGATATTAACGCATGTACGGTACCAGGGAGAGAGTTGAAGCACATTCGCTTCATCACTAAGAGAGGTCTTTAGTTTCTTACTCCGGAACTCAAGTTCAACCATTACTTAGCGGCACTTATAGTAAGAATTCTTCGCAAGTTGGCAGACATCAAAGACTCTCACCGCTTGAAGATATTAACGCATGTACGGTACCAGGGAGAGAGTTGAAGCACATTCGCTTCATCACTAAGAGAGAGTTGAGTACATTCTTAACTGAGAGCTATCGCTTCTGGAACTCACGACAAAGAAAGTGCTGCTGATGCGCGTTAATACGCTGTCCGTTACAAGGCGGAAAAGATGGATAGTGACAGCAAGGTGATAAATTGATCCAACGATGTCCAGGTCTTTCATCAATTCTCAAACAAAAGAAGCCATGTCCTAGAAATAAGAAGAACTCAACCAATGTAAGAGCTACAATCTGAACAAGGGTGGTGGATTGAGGACCGCGTCTTGACCACAACCTAGTGGAGGACAGAATGAGCCGAATCCACCATGACCCACAAGAATATGCAGAACACGAACTGAGTACATGAGAACTTTCCTCGCACCAGACAACTCGGGCTCAGCTGAGACTTGGCGAACACCGAAATGATACAGGTATCTCAACTGTGAAGAACTTGGAAAGGATCCCATCACGTTTCAATGATTTTTGATTCCAGGTAGGCTGGGTGCCAGAAAAACTTTACTGCTCGAAGCCTTAAGGACGTGAAATCACTGTATAAATATTGATTTACAGATTTCAATGCGTAATTCTTCAATGCGCGGGGCTGTTTCTTTCATTGCATGATTCTAATGACTCTTTACGGTACTGCAATTTCAGTGAGTTCGAATACCATTACGAGGGTGAAACTGCCAGACCAAAGCTCGAAGTACCAGCTAAGACGACAATAGGGGTAACGAAGCAGATGCTGACCTAAATGGATACACCTGACATAAACTCAACAAGAAACGAGTTCCGGCACACGATCAGGTGGACTTGGCACTAATATCAAGCACACATGAAAAACTGTTCACAAAGCTCACGAAGGCCGGAGATAGCCGACCAGCAGCGGGTCGATGTGTAATCGGGAGGGTTTTGTCTGATGTTCTTCAACTTAGGCATGTTAAATCAAATCCGTCACCCCACGAACAGGACTCACACAAATCGACACCTTGTGCGCAGGGGAATTGACGTGCTCCGGAAGTTGAGGTCATAGGTCTCAATGCTACACTCAGATTAGGCACTTACGAGCCATAAGGCTACAATCTGCCGAAGCTGGTCGCCACTGGCATCCGTCAGCGGACCTGGAAGGAAAATTTACACGATGAGGAGGACAAGGAGCGGGGTCTCACCAAACGCTGGGAATCGGGAAGAGAAAGCCACTGTGAGAAAAGATCGTCCAGCCTGAGCTTGCACTGAAGAGGCTTAGTTGCCGGCATGGGAAGGTCAGTGAGCTGGAGAAGGTCTGGGTCAAGCACTCCAACTTCCACGGCCATGCTGGCGTCCATTTTCCCCCTACTCCACACAGCGAAAAAAACCCACCAAATTCCTCCCGCTTTCTCGCACTTGGTTCGCTCCTGCTCCACGCAGCAGCCCGCGTCCACCCGACCTCGAAACAACACTTTCCTTTAGACCCTGCTCTTTTATTGGCAATCTGCCTACCTCCTGCGCTAAAGCTCCTCCTCCTCCTGCAACACTGGAATGACTGCACTGCAACTACACTCCTCTACACCACACCATGTCTGTAATCTGTCAAAGGGATGGAGCAAAACGATCATCTGCCGCGGTCAAGTACTCCGATACCAACGATATCTGTTCCGTTCTTGGTCCTACGCTAATCCTGCCTGTCTATTTGTCTTGCCTGCCTGTCTGTCGGTCTTCCTCGTCCTGTCTATTCAGCCCGAGGAGAGTTGTGAGTTGTTGTCCCAGAGGCAAAGCTTTTCTCGAAACATGGTCATGTGCGGGCGAGCTGCTGCTGTCTACCTCCTCCTTCTACCTGTCGAGCTTTCGTCCTCCATCGCCAAAAGCTGCTCCCTCCTTCCATCCTCTTTCTCCTTCCTCCTCCTCCTCCTTCCACCATCTCCTTTCCTCCTTCGCTCTCTCTGCTCTCTTTCTGCTCGCCCTTTCTTCTCCGCAAACAAACCCTAGATACATCTACTCCTTCGTTCCTTGTGTTTCCCTTCTTCCCCTCCCCCCCTTCCCCTTCCCCTTCCGCTTCCCCCGTTCTCCTCCTTCCTGTTGTCCTCTCCCCGGCCTGCCCTCCCCTCCTGCTCCCTCGCCCTTCGTCTTCCTCGCGCACTCCGACGACTTAATCGCCGATTACACGGAAAAGTTGCCATTTGTAAACCCTAATTCCGTCCTCTGTCCGTAATTAACCACTAAACGACTCGTTGCACCTTCGTCGTCGCCGAGTGACGTATTGCTCCCAGCTTGGCACCATCGTAACGTCCAGCGGCACGGCAGCCTCAGAGCGAATCGGGACGAATCTCTTGCGCGGGCTGACACGTAGGCCTGGACCCCGGATCCGGAGAATTCCCTCATCGGTGCATTCTGTCGCCGAACTCCGCCATTCGACGAATCCGGTCCGAACGACGTCGGGCACAGTTTCATCCGCTCCTCCTGCCGCTCGCGAACTCCGTAGCCTTTTAAATGACGCACTTAGTCTACGCAGTTAAGGAATGTCATCAGCCGGTTCCGCCCGTCCGCCCCCCCCCCCCCCCCCCCCCCGCCCGATCTTTTCGCATGATTGGACGTGCTGGAGTACCCGACCGCTCGACAGCCTTCCTCGGCCTCATTCGCCTTACGTCTTCTCAACTGCTATTTTTGTCACGATGAAGTCTACTGGACCTCCTCCTGTCTATTTTTGTCATCTACCGGAATTAGAACCGAGCTGTGGAAGTCTTTCATCCAGTTTTTGCTTCCGTATGACATTCGACTAGAGCACGCAACCGTCGAAAATTAGTATATGTCCTCGTACATCGTAACCCCTTCGATGCTGGGTTACACGCAGTGAGTGTATCATGTGTGCTACATTTCTGTGTTCGGAGAGGCTCGTGATGAACCAACAGAATGGCATATGCTCCGTCCAACGATGTTTTCGCTGTTGCATGACACAATGTCGGTTCGAGAGGTCGGCAAGAGACAGGTTGCTATTGTTCTTCTCTCCGACGATTGTTTCCCCATGCGACGCAAAGCTCCCAATTATGCTGTTAACTCGTAGTAATTATACTGTAATTTGTCAAGAATTTCTAACGCATAGCTCCCCATTGAAACTGCTCGCACAGCAGCTTGATACTTCATCCAGCCTCTCTCTGCAACCATACGCTTCGCGCATGACTCCAGTCCGAAAATATGTGATGTGAACATGTACAGTATCCATGTCCACATTTTACGGTATTATAAGATCGAAGAAACATACTACCACCCTAACTTCTTTGACAAGTAATGTACTGGACAGCCAACAATAAACAGATCTTCCGATTAGTTAACAGAATGTTTTTTTCCCAACTTTTCTTTTGAAATAACAGCAAAGAAACATATGATCCCTGTTTTTTTTATCAAACACAACATGCATGGAACATTTGACAAGGATAAGAATCTCATAAGGTAATACATACGAATCAATAAAGTACATTGTAAACTCTCTTTGAGCATATTAAATGATTGTCTGATCTGTGTGGCCATCATCAAAAGTACGTATCGTCATTAACCTCCAAACACAACACACATTAATCTTATATCATTTGTTTTAGTTTACGCTTCGTGAACACTTCATTTATGTTGATATTACTTTAGAAGTATTTACATGCTTTTGTCTTTTTTTTTACAAGTTAAACAAGATTCAATGAGTTATACCATTCAATTTTGTCATGTATTTTATTATATGTTATTTTTAGCCGTCCGCCTAGAGTTACTACTCATACAGTATAGAGTCATCAACGATTAGAAGAACATTAAGTTCTTCAAGTTAAGACTTTAGTGTTGGTACTAGTGAGTGCACTCAAGCGTCGATCTAGATTCTCAACGATTTGAAGAACGTTTAAGTTCTTCAAGTCGAGACTTTAGCGTTGGTACTAGTGAGTACCCTCAAGCGTCAATCTGGATTCTCAAGACGAGTGGATTGAACTCGACTTATGTATGTGTGACGGTTTTGTTGTCGGTGGGATAATCAAGACTTACGTGCTTGCCCATGGAGAATTCCACTCAAAGAACTTTCGTTTGAGTTTAGTTAGAACTCGAACGAGTTTGCCGTTGTTTGCAATTATTCGTAATCGTGAGATTGTGTGTATGAGTATGTGAATTTTGATGGAAATTGAGAAGTAATCATCAAAGGTCATAACGTGGTTTAAGTGTGAGAGATCTCGTGTGTATGAGCTCAAGTGTCTTTTCCTTGAATGAGTTTGAGAGAAATCATTGCAGGTTTTGTTCCGGAATTTTGACTTTACCTTTAGTCTTGAAATTAAGGATTTTGATTTTTTTTGTGTATTATGTTACTCTCAACAAGAAATTTGAAGTATATTGATCGATTGAGAATTTTGATTTTGACAGCCGATTGATTGAGTATATTGATGTCTGGATGATAGTCTGGGTCCGTAAGTAAGAGAATGAATGAAACAATATTGAGAATTGTCAAATTTTGGTCAGTGTTATAACAAGGGAAGAAAGTTTTGGTGATGGTGTTTATCTTACGGTCAAGAGTTACCTACTAGGTTGATTTTTTGTGCATCTGTATCAAAAATTATGTACATCGAGATAGTTTACAAGCACTGTTTTCTCGTGATCTTATCGAACCTTATGTCACGATAAGATCTTGAGTTACAATTACTCCTTCTCGATGAAGAATTTTGACTCAAATTCATCTTGCTCTTTTTTACTTTTACGAGTACACAGTATGTCTCGTGTGTGATATCAAGATCATATAAAAAACACAGAGTGTCTAAGATTACCAGATCTATGCAAAATTTCCATTTGTGAACAGAGTGGTGTGAGGAGAATCGTGACCTTAGAGTAGCATAAAAGTAATTGATTTGTTTTAATCATGTTGATGAAGTGCATGAGGCTTCTGTTATTCAAAAGATTTCACGCCAAGATTTTACAACAGTTCGAGTTTTATTTCAGTTATAGCAATATTCCCAATGACAAGTTCTTACTGAAGTGTATTGAAGAAGTTGAAGATGGATTGATGAACTTATTTGTGGTATATTTGAGTGTGTATGCTCTCATCTCATATGTGTGTGTGTGCATGTGAATAGCATGTCAGCAATGTACAGTATATGGCGATACATATTTGCACGACAATTTTCAACTATGTTTCATATTGCAAATAAGGTTCCAACCCCAAACATGAAAATGTACTATACCCAGTCGTTCAAAATTTGATGAGTAAAATTAGTTACCACTTATCATCACACCATCTGTTGACTCTAGAAATTGAGTCAAAAGATGATGTTTATTACTGGAGAAAAACATCATGGATTAAATGGTTTGCTAAAAAATCAATGACGTTTGCATTTGAATCACGATGTGACAAATTCAGTGTGATTGAAATACATCATAAATTTGTCATATCATTTGAAACAATTCATCTATAAGTACAATTCAGAGATTACATTTGATTTCTAGTAGTGACTCTCTTCGATAAACTATCTTGGACCCACAACTTTCTAAAAATACACTATAACAGCATCATCCAACATGAAATTCAAATTCAAAAGATACTTTACATTCTAGTTTCATCTAATTCCATCCATTTGATTTATTTGCGCTAATCTTGAAATTCATTTTTTGAAAAATCAAAACTAAAGTATTGTATGAAGATTTTGGAAAAATTTAATACAAAAATGGTAAACAACAACAAACTTTTCAAGAAACTAAAAATTTTACTTTAACAGGCAAGAATGAACTAAAATTTACAAAAGTAGTTCATTTTTTGGGGAAAAAAGAATCAAGTATAAATTTTAAAATCTAAAAAACACATACATATATGAAGTTAACAAACAAATTTATCCTCATTGTAGCCAACAAAGCAAAAATTGTGTAATTATTTCATCAAGTGAAGCTATGTAATTAAAACACCAAACAACAATGAAACCAAGAGTTAGGTTACATTCATATGCGATAAATGTAACCTAACAGATTGAAAATTGATGTTTTAACACTATAATGTAAAATATATGTCCATATAACATCAATATAAACAAAAAGTTGTATTTAAATTATCATTATTTTTGTACATAAATGTACTCATATGAATTTGGAAGCTAAAGAACGTTGATGAGAAACAAAATTCGAGAATTACAATTCTATTTATGTATAAATAAATTAAAAACACATACATATCATTTATCATGTTTTTAAAATAAATAAATTCAAGTTATTTCATAAAATTTGATGTACAAATGATGATACTTTAATGAATATGAATAACCGTTATTCAATATAAACGAACTCAAATAATAAGTATTGACATTCTAGAAGAATGAGTATAAATTGATGAAGCATGAAAATCATATAATTGAAGAAATGAAGAAATGTATATGATATACTTTTTTATAATGAATAAACTTCAAAACACGTTTCTATTGATGCATTTGATTTAGCGAAATGTTTATATATTGTCTGATATATATATATATATATATATATATATATAGTAAACAACAGTATAGGATTTTTGAAATTTTAGATTAAAGAAAATATGTAAGAATTTCCAAAAAATATTCTAATAGTATGTAAGGAATAATCTATTTTATTAATACATCAAAAGTGTGTGCAAACATCATCATAATCAATTGTTACTCTTATGTTAACTCAAAAAATATATCTTCATATATTTGAAAATATTTGCATGTCATACAAACAAATATTTGAACTTGTTTTTGTTTTTTACAAAAAATAAAATCAAATATGAAAATAAATTGTATGAAAAAACTAAAAGAAAGAAGCAAAATTTATTTGTTGACTATTTTGTAACACATGCTTTGTTAGTTATGATTATAATACTTTCAAATTTTTCTTTTCAGATATTTTTACATGTGTGAAGTTGATAACTCTTGAAAATCTATACACAAATTTTATTTTTGAAATATATATTGTGGTTACAATTATACTCCAATTTCTTTCAAGGATTAATTTAGTATGTATTAATTAATAAATGACTAGTTCTTCCTCAGTTTATGCTAATTATTCTCAGCCTAGAAAAGTTTCATGGCCAGGTAGTGGCATGTGAATTACATTGGTATTGAGCTCATGGCCATGAGTAATAGGCTAGCCAGCTGCTGGCCTACTACTCACGGGAAATGCTCACATGAAGACTCAAAGCACGGTGTAACCATCACACATAGATCACATATAGGATGAGGGATAATTAACATAAACTGAAATATAACTAACCACTTCCATAAATTAATATTAATTTCATATTTGTATACTATATCATTCTATATATGATATTTTTTCTTGTAAAATATTTAAACCCACGATCATGTATTTAAAAATATATAAACCTACAATTTTAACAATAATCATTGTACTTTTTAACTATCATATAATATAGTATATAATGTTTTATATTATATACATTTTTATCAATCTTCACATTGACAACCATTACAAACAAAGTTAAATGAAATCTAAATGTAGATATTTTTCTATGTTGATAAATGAGTGACTGCATTACAATTCTTGAATGAATATTGTTTTTTAATACTGTATTGTTTCTTTAGGCCCTCATATCATCCAAAGAACATGTAACCAACATATTTTGCATACAGGTTTATTATTTATATTTATTGACTTAGCATATTTGTTGCTCAATGAGATAATTTCATAATATTAAAGATGATAACAAAAATTAATTATAAATTGGACTGAATAGTTGTGAAGATTTTTGTTGGTTGCATCCATTTTTCAGAAGATCGTTGATTATTAGATTGATACAATATTTGAAGTTATTAGTCAATCTTAAAAAAATGTTGTAAGATCAGCTTGTATGTATTGATTAAATCACACTTGTTTCATATGAGTGTTAAACTAAACGATTGTGCTATTTGATTGAACTTGAGACTTTCAGAGAAATTATAGTCTTATATGACCGGGGAATTCCAAATGAAGAAATCTTAATAAAATTGTTATATACACTCTTGTTTATTTGCAGTGTATTTCAAAGGCATACACATAGCACATTATAATGTCCGTGTTGCATCAAATGAGTCACGAGCATAACTTTCCCTTGTCATGGTTGTTTTCCTCTCGCAGGCATAGTGTCTTATTGAAGTCACTGTTATTGATTAAGAATGGACAAGTCTCAGATCAAGAAGCCCTTGATTATAACCAGTTTTGTTGTCTACGTGAGAATCTGGTTAATGTTCAAGGTTTGTTGTTAATATATCATGGTTCAAGCTAATGAAGGGTTGATGTGTGATGTTTGATACATAGAATCTATAGACTGAACCCTTTGTTTCATGGGGAGTTATGACTGGATGGAGCTCGAAATATAAATGAGTTTGCAAGTGCCTTACAGTTTGAAGCATGTAGTGTCTGTGTGCCTCAAAAACATGTCTATCTGTACAGGAAGGGCAACGATTGTTTCATGAATTGAATGATATTGCCATCCACTAGAACATAAAGTATGTTTGTTGTGCTCGTCTCGTGGGACGGACCCACCGACACCTGTAAACTTTGCTGAAAGTCAAAATATGATAAGCCATCTGTGATTTGCGAAGGTAGTTTTGGTCGGTCAGTCGGTTGGTTTCGCGTGGTCCGGGGAGCTCCCGGAAGAGAATCAAGGAAACTGGATAAAGATGCGAAAGCGTGGAGGGGCTCGGAAAAGGCTAGCACAAACGAAGAGAGGTGATCGGCGGGCCAGAGTAACATCCAATCACCCAATGACGACGAGACGAGATCCGGAGATGAGCCAACTCAGACGAGCAACTACATGTCATGAATGGCATACGCGTGGCACTAGCCTGTCAAGGTGCACACCTGTCCTTTCGTCGTGGACAATGTGGTGCAGGCAATCGTACCTATTTTTCTCTCTGATCTACTGGCCTTCACTGGCAGACAATGCTCCGTCTAGTGAAACGACCACAATCCGTTGACTGCGTCAAGCGCATTCAGCACTGCTCGACGAACTGTTCTGCTCCGATGCCAACCTTGACGACTGCATGACCGATTGTTCACGAATTGCACAAACTCGAAAACTTCTTATCGATTATGCCACAATCCGATATATGTTCCATCTTCGCCAATGTCTTCATACAAAGACAACCAGAATACAAAGGAAGAGATGGGAAGCAGGTTCTACATTTCGAGGACGTGATCTCAGACGACTGCTCATGGCGAATTATCCTCATCTGAATGATTCGTGTATCAAGAGGTGACCAAGTGCGTATTGTTCTAAGAAGTACATCGGTTTCAACATAAGATACAATTATAATTGACGGTGAACACACAATGAATAAATTGATCATACAGCAGAAACGCGTTTCAAATAAGAGAGCAGAATAATGGAAATGCTATAGAGGCACTATAAATCTTCAAATACACAAGAAGTTCATAATTACAATAAGTTTTGATATTGGCCTCAAGATCAAGAGTGTCAGAGCATGATTCGTGCTAAGTCAGGTAAAAAAGGTTTTTTGAAAAGTAAAGTCAATGTTCATCGATCACAAGGGCTACGTCTATTCACAAACATGAATGTCGTGACAATGGATCCAAATGCGTGCAGACTGTTGCCGAAGAGAATGACAATGAAACGGAATGTGTATCAGAGCCTAGGCAGGCTCATGTATCAGACTCCAGCGCATGGACACGAGGGATACGAAAAGCACGCGTGGCCATCAGAGGCGGGCCCCACCGGACTCTTCCCGCTCCGGAAGAGTCCACTGTTCTTTGGGATAACTCTACGACCCCGTTGGGTAGGTGCAGCAAGGGCCCCGAGCGCAGAAGGGCCTGAATGAAGACCGGTGGTCGTAATCATTCCGAATGTTTACAACGGAGGCTTGGGTTAAAGTCCGGGGGCCAACTTGGCCCGCAGCCTGAGTCGGAACTTGGCTTGGCCGGCCTGGCGCCTTGGGCAGAAGTCGTGCCTGCGGACAGGAGGAGGAGGAGGAGGAGGCAGGGCAGAGAGACAGACTTTGGGAGATCCATAGAGGCCGCGGATTTGGCGATTCCAAGAATCATGGAGGGCCTTACAATTTGCGGCAGGGATGATTGCGGCGCCGGATGAGGAGACGGAAAGTGGGGTGGGGAGGCATTTTACCCGCCAAGGCTAAGGAATACCCTAAAGAAAGGTGGGATATGCTGAGCTTGGGCTTTTGTCGAAGAAACTGCACAGAAATGGTGCGCAAATTGACGAGGTTTCTGGCACAAGTGTTCACTCCTGCCCCCACGTGGTCCTCTGCCTGCGCCTCTGCCAAATCTTGCTCTGCGGGTTCATTCCTCTGTCGAGCTCGCTCGACTCCTTCCTTCGCTCGGACCTCCTGCCGCTGCTCGCTTGCAGGCGTCGCTGCTCGCAGGAATGGAGGCATGCATGTTGCGACATTGCCGTGACCTCGTGTTTAACCCGGGCTTCTGGGGATGAGGATGAGCAGCAGCAGCAGCAACAGCAGCGGCAGTGTGAAGCGAAGGGCGGGCCCTGGAGTTTTTTCACTGGGGATGCGAATTCGTAACCTAGGGCTATTTCAACTGTCGGGGAGGATGAGCTTGTCGCATTGCTCGGTCTTGCCCCGGGAGGAGTCGGCGTTCTGTGTGTGTTGCCAGAATGGAATTGTGACCGAGCTCTTGGATCTCAGCTGGGCGAATGACGTTTTTTTGTCGGTGATTTTGAAACCGGTCTGATCAATGTGCGTTTGAATTGCGAGCCAGACGAGTGGGATCTTTTGTCACCATGATGCGCGCTCAGATGACTTCAGCGTCCTCCTGCTGGCCTGTACGAAATTCGAGCATTCCGGGCTTGGTAGCTCACAATCTTTCTCCCCCTCAGGTCCCTGGAGTTCAAAGTGACAATGGTGTGTTTGGAAGCAGGACGGGGCTACTCGTCGAATGCCTCGAAGTCTCGGGTGGGAGCAAACTTTCTGGCCATGTCGGAATAAGTGGAGCCAAGAATTCGGCGTTGGCTGTTTTGGCTGGAGCTCTATGTTCAGAAGAGGAGCTGAATTTGAAAATGATACCCGACTTGCATGACATTCAAAGGATGGTTCAGGTTCTTCAATCTGTAGGGGTGAAAGTGAAGCGTTCTGCCTCTGGTCTCACAGTCGACGCGAGCGAAATTGTCTCAGTAGAGCCTTGTCCGGAAGTAGTTAGGAAATTAAGAGCTAGTTTTTTCGTCATTGGAGCTTTAGTAGGACGGAAGGGCGAAGCCGTCGTTCCCCTCCCCGGAGGATGCGACATAGGAGCTCGGCCCATCGATCTTCACGTGCGTGGACTGCGAGCTCTGGGTGCCCAGGTGGAGATAAGGTAACGAGCGCTGCTAACTCTGCGTAGCTGGCTTTGCATTTGATTTTTCGAGTCTGCACCCCAGCGAAGGTTGTAGGCACTTTGTTGTCTTGACTTAGCACTTGTGCTGCATTGTAGATCAGTTGTTCCTTGTGTCATTTAGACACCGCCTCATGATTCTTGGCATCCGTAATTAGAAAACTTTGAGAATATCGCGATGAACCGTTTCTGTGACGTCTCTGTGTCTCTGAACACTTCACTTGCAGAGAGCTGGACCTTTATGCAACCATTATCCAGAAAAATGCCCCCGCCTTGAGGACTGCAGTATTTCTTCTGTGCAATTGTTAACGGTCAGCTTCGTGATATTAAATTGCATTTGTAACTATGCAGGCAAGACAAGGTTTATGCACGTGCATCTCATGGTAAGAGATTAGTAGGGGGCAAATTTCATCTTGATTATCCAAGTGTTGGCGCCACTGAAACCCTCATGATGGCTGCCTCTTTGGCAGACGGAGAAACCGTACTGTCAAATGTGGCTCAGGTGTGGCCACATTGCTCGCTGTTTTGCTGTGACAAATTCGCTGCTTGTTGTAGATAATTGTGACATAGATCAAGAGGTGGTACTCGTTATGATGAAGAGTGGAGTGGATTCTTAGAGTGGAAAGTCCGCTTGAGATCGTAAAGATGTTTAGCTCGGACTAGAATATGTAGAAGTATCGATGTTTCGGTGGTTCGAGAAAAAATAAAACTTAGGGACTGCTGTAACACATGGACTTTCTTTTACAAATCGGTTGAAGACACTGTACGGCTTACCCACGTGTTTGGATATTTGCAGGAGCCCGAAGTAGTCGATCTGGCTCAATTTTTGATATCGTGTGGAGCTAAAATTTGTGGCGTCGGATCAAGTACCTTAGTTATTAAGGGCGTTAAAAAACTGCATAGCACCGATTTTACAATTATTCCTGATAGGATAGAGGCTGGAACTTTTTTAATTGCTGCAGCAATTACTCGGTCCTCCATTTCTATGTCACCAATTATACCGCAGCATATGACAGCTGTGACTAATAAACTCCAAGAGATGGGATGTAAGCTGCGCCAAACAAGTCAAGACAGCCTACTGGTGAGTATCAAGTCACGTACACTTGGGTTTGTGAGAACCTTTTTGTCAAATCTTCTTTGTCGTTGTTCCAATCCTCCTGTTGTGAAGAGGCTTTGAATGGAGGTACTTTTGGTACCTTAACGAGCTTTTGAAATTGCTGCCCTTCCTCTCCAATTCAAGGAGCAGTTATTGCAAGTCAGGATGGAAGGATTCGCAGTTTCAAAATTAGTGCCGTACTAATTATCTCTTGGATCCAATTTCCAGTTCAATGGTATGGTGCAAAGGAAGGAGCTTTGAGACTCTGCCCAGGAGCTTGATGATGTGTTGTTTATGTTGCAGATCAGCCCCTCGCAGTTATTGTCTAGTACCAGTATCACAACTCTTCCTTATCCTGGTTTTCCAACCGACTTGCAACCACAATTCATGACACTCATGACCAGTTGCATCGGACGAAGTGTTGTAAAAGAAACCGTTTTTGAGAGTCGTATGCGGCATGGTAAGCCTTTTGCTTTTTTCAACTCGCCCGTGCTTCATAGGATGGCCATGAGACAGGTTTATAAGCAATTCACTTGTCTGGATGCATGACTCCCTGTGTATAATGAAGCCTAAAGGTCCTTGCTTTGGAATTTGAAAGGAAAGCTTTGGTGATGTGCAGTAGAAGAGCTGCAAAAGTTGGGAGCGAAGGTGGTTGTCAACAAAAACGTTGCTGTAATACGTGGAATAGATTGTGGCAGGTAAGAACAGAGTTTCTTCTGTACTTTGCTCCTGGAATGGACTTCGTGCCTCTTCATGATGTCATTGTTTCTGGTGCGAATATGTAGTAGTTAAAGAACTACAAACTGAAGTATCTGCCTCCATCATTCCTTCGGAACGTAGCCCTTATTCAGCTGTTGCCCTCGCAACCACTGAAATGAGGACGTTCCACGATTCACAGATGAAGTTGAGCATGAAGTCGTGCACCATAGATTGAAAAGGCTTGCCGCCTGGTGAGTCTTCCTGAATGATATTGTAGTTTTTTAACGTTGCCTAATATGTGGTTGCCAGTTCCTTGCGTGGAGTGCCAGTTACTGCCACAGATTTGAGAGCTGGAGCAGCTCTTGTGCTTGCTGGGTTAGCAGCTGATGGCACTACTCACATTGAGGGTATCAACCATATTGACCGAGGTTATGAATCATTTGATCAAAAGCTCCGACTTCTTGGAGCAAGTGTTGAGAGATTGGCGTCCTTGCCTGTAGAGCTGGTGACCCTGTAGTTTAGTTTTCGGAATTCCAGTAAAACAGGGTGCTAGGAGGGCTTTCTCTTTTAATCTGTTGGTGGTGGGGGCAACGAGAAAGGTCGGGCTCATCCACAGCGGATTTGTAACTTTGAGTGCGATAGGTTTGTCAGTTATTTCCTTGTCACTTGTTTATAATACTTCGTACGGTCTCATTCTTTATGATGGTCGATTTTTTCAAGGAAAAAATTAAAGATTTCTTTCCTGTTTCCAGGTTTAGTTCTTGTACGCTGTATGCTTCTGATGTACACGACTTGTCTTCGACTACTATGGAGAGGCTACCAAAGAAAATTCTGCATTACAGTAGGGAATATATCCGAAACCAACCGACATTTCATCCCAAGAACACAAACATTGATATTTACTTTGTTAGTTAGTGTGGGTCATTGATTGCATACTAGACAAAAACGATAGAGCTTGAAGGGAAATCTGTGACTTCCCCGTAGAGATAGCAACCAAATTTCAAGCGACCGAAGGTAACTTCTTTCAATCTACTGCCGATCTCTCAACCTCCCGACTATGAAATGAAATCTGAAGCAAGTTTTAGGAATTTCTTAATGTTGGACAATATAACAACGCAATTGAAAGAATCGTTCCGAGTTTCATCCCACCGCTTATGGAAACTACATAGATAAAATTACAGATGTGAACTATATCTCAAAACTTCGAATAATCTCGAATGCAGAATACAGGAGAATACAGGAGAAAGTAGTCCGCAGGCAGGCATCTACCTTCATTGGATAGCATACAGGTCTAGTAAGATGCCTACATCAACTCAGAACTGAGATTAATTCTGCCGACGCACATATTCGAAACGATCGGCTGCGTCCATGAAAGCTTCAGACTGGGCCCGAGAAGCGCTCCGAGGATGAGAACTACGTCCACGTGTGACCACGTAAGATTGTGCGGACAAACTTGACTGCGGACCGCAGTCCAGATAGGGAGCATAGTTTCCTCAGGAGAGGACAACGTAAAGATTGTGACTGCAAGGTACTGACAGAGGGCAGACACGGCAAAATGGCAGAGAGGCAGCCCGTCAGACCGCGCTCCTCATGGCGTCGAGATGAATCATCGATCGAGAACTTCGTGGGTCGGTCGATAAAATCGAGAAAATGACGTCGGGTAGTGGAAGTGGTGAGACTCGTCGACGGATCGCAGGTACTGAAAATGGGGACTGCAAGGAGGTGTAGGAATAAATCGGATCGTTTGTCACGGGGCAAATGGTAAATCAACTCTAGGAACGGGCACCTTGGCAGGATCTGGCTCTGATAGTCCAGTCGTCCGTGGCACAGACACTGGAATCATTGTCTCGGGAGGTGGAATGTCAGGTCCAGCCGCGGTGAACGGATGGTGCGCCAGAAACGATTGGATGGGTGTGAACACATCAGAGGCTCGTCTCGTACTGAAGAACAGATCCAAATGAGCGTAGAAAGGCAGGAACACCATGGTCGGTCTTCGAACCAGCTGATCCGCAAAGTCCATCACCCCACTGGGCGTGGCGTACAAGTCTTGACCTCCATAGACAATGCACACTGGTACGTGGGATGGTATCCTGGCGGGCTCATACGGCGGCGGAGCCATCCTGCCACCATAAGCCTCCACATTTCGACGAGCAGACCCGTAGTCAAACTGCTGGAAGGTGTTCCTCACAAGTCCTGCCCAGGCACCACACACGTGTACGGCACCAAGCTTGTGAGAATCAGTGAGATGCTGAGTACGGAGGCCCGAGCAGATATGCAGTTCCACAGTTCTAGCACCAGCGTTGGAAGAGTACACCGATGTACAGTACCAGAAAGCAATACCTTCCAAGTGTGGTGGACAACTTTTGGAAACCAACTGTAGTACCACAAAACTCATCAAGAGTTTCCCGACTACACGGAACTCTGTAATGATGGAGTATAGCGTACGTGGATCGATCACCCGAGGCAAGAATTTATCGAAGGCTTCGGTCGGGGGTCTGTAACCTGGGTTCGGATTTACCTTGCACGAAGTGTCGGAGGTTCTTGAACGACGTTCTTCCATCCCAACCATTGTCCACCAGAACGGTTGCCTCGTTCAGGCAGCAATCAGCACCTGCATATGCAGTGGACAATCTGCATGACTACTCGGCCGATGCAATCATCCGATATTCTCTAGCCTCAAGATATCGTGCGCAAGGTAAAACGACTTGGATGGATGAGAGCAGGCAGGCACTCTCATGCCCTCTCAGCTGCCCCAGCAAGCAGAAGTGAACTGAACATGATGAACTCTCTAAGGTCAGAAACACAATAGCATGATGGTGGAACACTGTGCACGGTTGGATTTCCCAGGCCATGGTCATCAACATGGAAAATATTCTCACCAGATATTGAGGTGAGGAACGCAGAAATAGGTCCCGCTTTCAGCGGCAGTGATTGCATTCGAAATTCTCTGCCATCACACATTTGATGCCATGTTTTCTCAGAGATTCTATTCTCTCCACAGACGACCTCATACATTAAAAAGCGTATGGTATCACTCGAAGATGGAGGCCAAGATCGGAACTCACCGAAAGAAGTTAAAGGGTCCTACACGTGAACCATTCGCTGACTGCACACATTCCAGATCGCACATATGTGAAACTCCTTCTCTAAAAGCGCACTACAGTAGTAGCGAGGGCAGCCGTAGTCAGCGAGTGTATCCATTATTCTGTCGTAATGAGATTAATTCATCTCGAAGCAGAGGGAGTTATTGCACTTCCTAGTCACATGTGAATTTCAGATGTTATCGAAAAGTACGAAAATCACGAAAGACACAGAGCGAGTCCAAGAGGGGTAAAAAAATGATTGCAGACAATGAGCACATATTCTCTACCCCATCCATGAGAGTTCCTAAAAATCCGGCCCAAGCGCGCATCCGAAGGGACGGTGTGCCTCCTCGGTAGATCGTAGGTCCAATCAGCGTCAGACTTTGCAGAAAACTGGTCGATTGCGGCATTGTTGCAGCAGCAGCTCCGACTGTTGCACTCTGCAGAAACAAACAGGCGAAATCGGCATCACAGCATTTTCAGAACATTGCTGTCATCGGCGAGGTTTGCTTCCAGCTCGCTTCGCAGAACGAAGTCCAGTATTTACCTGAGACACACCGATGTAATGAACTTTGCTGCGGGTCTTGGAGTTTACGAATTGCAGCATTCGCGGAACATCATACTGTACATGCTGGTCCCACGTCCAGTTCCAATATGCCTGCATATGATTGAAGGTTTGCATCACTCTCATGTAAGCAACATTGGACGATTCACAGTTAACTGAGAACGAGGCAATTCTACGAGTCTGCTCATAACAGGCTGGTGATCTCGATCCTCCAGGATCCCGTTACGGGTGTGTGCAAACCCGTCAGCTGACGAGCTATTTTCTCATTCTACGTCCTCGTCAGTGACACACGCAAAGGCCAAAGCAAAGACCGCAACCGTGTGCGTGAGACCCGAGCGGGACTCGAGACTTCGCGGAACTTACTGGGTCCTTTGACTTCAGATGCGAATGGCCATGGCTCCAGTACGTTGCCCGCTCGTGGGCAATCCATACGTCGAATCCATCATCAGCTAAAACAAACGGAAGCAGAGCTCCATCTTCATGCACCTTGATGAACCAGCTGTCCCCATTGAGCATTCCTGCATGCATGAGGAGAACTGCATTGCCTTCGTGCTTTCTCACAGCACTGGAGTTGCTGACCACCCTCCCGAGAGGCAGAGGACTCGGTTGCAAAGGTACTTCGTGAGGTGGGACTTTCCGACGAAGTGGTACGCTCTGTGGTACTGGTGGCGAAAACACCGGACTTGGGCCCCTGGATTCGTCAGAATCGGCTGGTCCATGACCCGGAGCAGACACTGTATCTTTGTCGATAGATTGTGGTGGAGTAGCTGGCGAGTGGTCACTATCTGAGGACCATGCGGGCACCGACGGAGTAGGAATCACGCTGATCGGAGGTTTAGGATTCGGCGATTCTGCTTGCGCGATAGTTGCACTTCCAGGGAATGTTGTGGACTCATATGCACGTGGAGTCCTCAAGGCTTCAGACGCGGGAACAGCTGGGCTTCGGGGTGCAGCTTGTGGTTCCGAAATTTGCTCTTGTGCAACTGGAGGCGAGAAAGGAAGATCGCCGATGGAAGCATGAGCACTGATATTTCTACTGTTGCTGACGCCCAATTCCGCAGTGCTCGAGGCCGCAGTAGGAGCTTGAGCCGACTGATCGAAATGCTCCACGACAACGCTAGGACCACGAATGTGAGCCAGGCTGGCATTGGAGATCGCTCTGACCCTTTGAAGGAGAAGGCCATACCCGTCGGCTGACTTGATCTGAGGCACGCAGCACAGATGTGTATATTGAAGTTAATCAGTCAACTTTTTCTTCGAAGTTCCAAATTCGAACCGGTCAAGCTCATCAACCAGAACTTACGAAACTCGAACAGACAGAAACATCTTCCACATGTCAAAAGCCTGACCATCACCACTATACGGCAACTGGAACAGCATTTCCATCTTGACAGTAGTTTACCGGACTGAATGGTGAATTTAGAGACGGAACAGCTGCGAGACAGGCTTTGAATGGTGGCAAAAGGACTGGGACTAATGCATGCAGGGGAAACTCTTTCTTACTTCTTCCACAGATTATTATGGGATGGTAAGTTGCATGAAAAAGTCGAATTTCACGAAGGGTATACTGTTCAAACAATACTGCAATAATCGAGAAAGCACAATTGTCAGGTGCTACTCTTGAGTAGTTTCCTCTTGCATTGTGACATGAGATGTGTATTTCGTACCTCATACTCTTTACAGGTGTAGCCTCGGGATCTGACAAACTTTTGACAGAATCGAGTCTCGGCCTCAGAAACCTTCATAAAACCAGGACCAGGATGTAAAAATGAGAACAAAAGCAGCACGATCCCCAAACGCACGTCAATTGTCATATCTCTCTATCTGACTCTCTAAGAATCTCTAATCCAGATGCTGGAGACAGAAAGGCGATGAAAGAATAGCAGGTAGCGAGCGAGCGAGGAGGCAATTGGCAGGAAGCGGTTTGCATGCAAGATGAGGCGAATGAAGACTGAAGAATTCAAACAAGGACAGAGCTGGAATTTATCTACGACACTGCATGCACCTTTCAGAACTGGAGCGAGGTTCGAAATCTCCGTCATACTCATGAGGTCATGAACACGTTGGCCCCGCAGGGCCCGATCCTCGACACACGGCTTACGAAAATTCGGCAGGTTTCAGAACCACCGGCAGGAATTCAACGGCTCGGCAACCGAACGATCAACTTCCAACCTCGAAACAAATACTGCTTTGAAATCAGTCTCTCAGCTCCGCTGCTGCCGCTTCAGCTGGAGCATCCGAGCTCAGTTCATCTCGCACGTAGAAGCGTCCCAAGCATCCCAAGCATCTCAAGCAGAGCAGCAATCGTCCGAGAATATTTCGAACTTCGATTACAGCCTCTTTCAGAACGATCGTTCGTCGTTTCCCCGTTCGAAGCTGCCAATGCGTCTCTCGTTTCCAGAACCGGTGCCACTGTATTGATCGATCGATCGATCGACGGATGGGTACGAGACGGACGTGGTTGCCCAGTGCTCGTCGGTGTCTTGTCGTGTATCGTGGTGGCCATCGGCGAGCAGTTACGTCATCCGCCGCACAGGCGGATATTGAACTCCTCGTCCCGTCCTACAAATACGGCACGCTTCATGCCTCGCGGACGTTCGTTTGTGGACGTGGTTGTGAAGTCCCCATTTACCTTCACTCATCGCAGTAGAGACACCCAACCGGCTCGTTCCGTAGGCAGTCGTGCGAAATTCCTTCTGCATTTACTTCTTCTATCTCGTCCCGTCCTACGAACACGGCACTGTACAGGCCTCTTATGCTGCCAGTGTGGACGTGGTTGTCAAGATCTGCAGTCATGGTATCTGTATGGAAGTTATGGATGAACAAACTTATAAAATTGCGATAAGCTCATAATAACGAGGATCTCTTCCTGGCAAGTACATTTTGGACCTGACTTTGGGACTTCTCCCGTATGGTACAACAGTTTGACATGGTTATGGACACCATCATTTCTTTCATATAACTGTCCACCTCCTAGGGACTACTCAGTCCTTGGTCGGTTTGGGCAAGACTATAATGGGGTTAGGTTGCTATTTTATGGTGCCTTCCCATCCTTTTCTTCTCTATCACTTGGTGTCTAGTCTAGATTAGGCAGATTTCATGTTTCCAAACATCAACTTACACTTACTTTGCATAAACTGACTGCAGTGATATCTGATGGTGAAAATAATATCTCTATATTAGAAGCACGTAAAATACTGCGATACTCAAGCCATAGGAATCCATGGAAAAGAACAATATACAACAAGAAGTTCCAAATAAAGTTTGTGATGGAGCAGGTGAAAGTACACCAATGGCAAATGTACTGAAACAGGAGTGCTAGTGCTATATCTCGGTTGTAAGAAAATCTCCTCTTTGTCAATTTGTGTACTTCATGCTGACAGATAGAAGAAAAAGTGTTCTGAGATCGTCATTGATGACCACAATTACTGCCTTGTAAACAAGAGTCTAATGCATATGATGATCTGAGAACTACTTGTCCTCATAGCTGACCACATTCTAAAACTTTTGTGTGTTCTTTAATCTCTTGCACTAGAAGATATGTGCACAATGTGGAAGGAAATTTCCATACATTTTCTAGCTTTGTTGTCAATCGAGACATTACATCATGGTCATGATAAGTATTAATGTGGTGGTAAATTCACACCTATTAAAAAGAAAAATAACAAAAGCAAGTGGAAGATGAAACCAAAGGAAAAACATGAAACAAGAATCCAATAGGAAATTTCTTGATGCACCCCATTGTACACAAATTGGTTGATGGGATCCATTACGTTTCGTTTTACCCGTTGGTATACCGGCGACATGACACGTCACCAAGTTAAAAAGTTCCTGTAAATAAAGTTTGGGGAAGTGTTTGCTTGGAAGTTCCAACTTTGTTCAATCTATTTTTCTATTTAGTTGACCAACTACAAGTAGTACCTTGAGATCTCATCACTAAAGTTAAATTGGAATTCCATCCGATGTGCTCAAATTCTACTCAAATTTGCAAACTACAAAAAGATGTTCATTTCAAAAATGAGTTCTCTCTAAAAGCTTTTATCGCGCAAATGACCATGATTTCCCACATACGATTGCAATTAGTATGTGTGAAGTGTCTGAATAGACAACAAGCTCATTCATGATTACTTGAATTAAGTGCAAAGAGTAGCTCGCATCTTTCAATTGTCCGTAGCAAGAAATGTGGGGACCGTTACTACTCAAACAGAATAAGACATAGTTTTGACCTCTATGGTCTTGAATTTTCTCCTATTTTTGCAACATCCATTGCAATGTGAAGTTAATGTTGGCACTAATGTGCACTCACGTTGATCTCAAGTTTATTATAATAACTTCGTGACGGTATGTCGTAAGTGGAGTCCCATCGGGTAAAACAAAACATGATGGTTCTCATCAAGCAATGAGATTCCATCAAGAAATTTGCCTTTTGATAAGATCCCATCAAGTAATTTACTCAAGATTCTAGTTGATTTACAATGTGAAATTTTTTATATTCTTTAATCATGTGAAATTATATTTTTATGTTCTTTAACCTAGATATGAGATTGAGTGCTGCAAATTTTGTGAGAGATATGTGTAATCATATTTTTTTGTGTACTTAAAGTTTAAATTTCTTGATCTTGATTCAGATTATTTTGACCAAAACATACATTTGCATGCAAAAATTAAAAACTTCAAATTTCATTATAATTTAACATTTACTCTTCTTCTACAAGAAACTTTTATATATTCTAATGAAAATACTTTATCATTCATGATTTCAAAATACTTCATTCTAATCTTTAGAAGAAAATTTTATTGCTATTTTTGTGTGAAACTAGATACATCAATTTTGAATGTAAATAAAGGATTCATTAAAAAATAAGATTTATACAAGATTCTACAAACAACATTACTCATCACGATATGTAACACAAATTTATCTTTTCATTTAAATATGGATAATTTTGAAAAATATATTTTATTGTATACTATTCAATGATTTTGATTAATAACTATTTATTACAAATATATTTTATATTTTAGGTTACAAAAAATGCAGATTACTCAATCTCAATCTTTTCCAACAAACTTGGTTGGTATACATATAATTTCTACATAGTAACCTCGAATTTCCTGTTTTAACAATTAAACTAAAATATATATTTACAAATAAAATATTTGAAACCTCTTGTATACATCATATTGTATATCATTTTCATATGTTTGCAATGGCATTAAATTATCCATCCATTAATATAATTAACTTCAAACTTTCAATTGTTATGAAAACCATGCATGTAATGCAAAAGTTTTCATAATTCAGACGTATTTTATGAATTAAAATTTAATATTGATTAAAAATCTATTAATTGTAATTAAAAAAAGATTGACTTGCATGAAATATTTTTTGTCATGTTGAGCATAATTTGTCATCTCGGATATATTAAATACAAGAATTTACAAATGTTTTAAACTAAATTAACTTCTAAAACATAGTTTTTCATTTAAGATATTGATTTTCATATACAGTGTTCATAAAAAAACAATCCATATGTAAATGTAAAAGATTTTGAGAGTCACATTTCCATAATGCAAGAAAATTTTGAAGATTTATTTTCAACACACATCTAAATCATTTCAAATGAAGCATATCAAAAATTATATTAATTCTATGAACCCTAAGTACCTACAAAATGATTTAACATCAATTGTCACATTATATAAACTCAAGAATTTAAAATAATGAATCTTATATACAAAGGATACTTGATTTTATTGATAATATTTGTCTGAAGTTATAAAAAAATGAACAATGTTCACATATTCTATTGTTTTCAAAATTTTAAGTTTCAATACAATCATTATATACAACAGCTTAAGAAAAATGTATGTCTGAAGTAAAATATTGATGTTAAATATTCATCACTAAATATATACTGAAAATTTGAATATATGGTATTTGATTAATTACTGTAAAACAATATTTTCTAAAAATCTGTTAGATTTTCGTTAAGTTTAAATATTCATTTCTTAAGCCATAATGTTTATCTATTTTTCAAAAAAGTATTCTTCCATTCTTAAAAGTCAATAATATTGCATGTTTTAGAACAAAATAAAATTTAAAAGTATTTTTTATAATATAAAGTCAAGTAATTGATTGAAAATTAAAGTAAAATAGTAAACATATTGAATCATTTTTGTAAATAAGTTATATTTTTATTTGAGAAAGATGGCTTTGTGCATATCTAACATCAAACATTGATATCGTACACAAAATTTATGATTAATAATTTAAATAACCAACAAAAATTATTATGATTTTTGAATTCATTTAATATGATTTTATTTTATCAAAATTTGCAAGTTGTTATGACTTACATGCATCAAACTAAATGGAAATTTCAAATTTTTTGTTGGAATATATATACTATAAAATCTACATAAATATCACTAACAATTGGTGATAACAATATCAAAATTTTTTCTCATATTTTAAATTTTTATTGATTTTTATAATAAATGTATTATATAATACTATTATGAATCTCATCTTAAATTTTTAAATTGTGTAAAGTTTAGAACAAACTTTTTACTATAGGTGTATTTTATCGTGTTGTACTTTAGATAAAATATCATGTTATAAAATTTCATATTGCGCTGAATCCATACAATTTAATTGATTAATTAATTAATTTATTTATTATCCATAAAATAATTAAAAAACATAACTAAAAATTTCCGGTATTATAAGTAAAAATGTTTGAAAAAAATATTTTGGTTAATTCTATCATTTTATTGCATAGCTCAACAACTTCAAAAAATTACATTCAATCTTATACACCTCTTACTTGACAATTGATTTGAATGAAAATCATCTTGCTTACCATCATTTAAATTTTCATCCTTTGCTACGGTTTATCATAAATTCATAAGATCTCATTCATTTCAACTTTTATTTATATATTTATATATTCATTTCAAAGTTGATGATATGGCTTATTAAAATATATATAGGTCTGTAATATCGCTTAAAAACACAAAAATTGGAATGATAGAAATGTTCAGGATTGTTATGACAAACACTAATATACTTTGTGTACATCATATATATCATAGAATACCTTATAAATATTATATTGATACATATTTTACTCCTGGTGATAATATCAATTGTATATTTTCTTATAGAAATTTTAACTTATTTATTAGATTTTTTATGTTTTTTTGTGAGGTTAAGAAATTACCAGCTTTTTGAAATGTCATTTTCCTGCTATAAATATTATAATTGAAAATTTAAATCTTAATACAATTTCTATATAGTACACAAACATATCAGAAAAACTTAAACTCTACATCTATTTATTTATTCGATTAAATTATCAACATAGAGATTTGAATCTTGAAATTATTTGTAATAAAAAGATGTAGATTAAATATAAAATGTTGATTTTATACTTAATACACGCTTAGCTTTTTCAAACAAATTTTTCAATACGGAGAAAGATAATATGATACACTTATATATTTAAAACATTCATATAAATTAGAATTGAGATTCCATATAAGCAATACACATCTATATATAAAAAATAGGTTTTAAATTATTACTATTTTTAAATATATAACATTTAATACAGCTAAATTGTAAAATGGTGCATCATGAATTCAAAATTGAAGAAAAAAATAAAATAAAATTCTCATCTATTACGAATGTAGAATTTTTCGTTTTAGATTTTATTTTACAGTTTAGATCTATATGCTATGAAAAATTTGATTTAACTTTTTAAATAAGTATTAAAAAATATTTTTAATGTTAAATTGTGGCACATAAAATTAAAGTAGAATTGAAAAAAATGTTTGATGGTGTTGTCATGTCACCCTAGATATTACTTAGCATGCTTCATATTATGACAAGTTTGTGCGTTTTGCAATTTTTATATTTTACACATTTTGGATGCAAGATTTTTAAAACTATATTTCGTGAAAAAATCAGTTATTCAGTTTGGATATAATTGTATGAGGATTTTTTTTAATAATTGGTTGAAAAATTATTGAATAAATTAGTATTTTTGTTATTATTAGTATGATTGCATACTCCACCTTGAATATATTAATAATTTTTAATTATGTTTTCAACTATTCCTTATGAAATCAATGTTTCTTTGTGATTACAAACATTTTTTAAATCAAAATGCAAAAATATATAAGAAATGATAAATTTTGTATTGATTTTATTATAATATGAATTTTTTTTTAAATTGTAATAAATATATGTCTAGATGCAAAGAAGTGACAAAAGATTTCTAAAGATGTCTAGTGGTATGCGAAGTTTAAATCACCTGCATTGTTGAATAAGAGAAAGATTAATTACTTAAAAATTTAATAATTTTACATCCATAATTGTCATATAATTAATAATATCATGTGATATAAATATCAATATAGGTTAAAGATATATCACTCTTCATAGGTTCAACTTGGATGCATGAGAGGCCATTGTTATTTGAGGGTGTGGACAAAGAGATTTGAAATCTCATCGCCAACAGCTATTTTCTGCATTGTTCTTACAATGAGATGAATAATTGCTTGCTTCTTTACTGTCATATTACACACAAAGGTGTTATGACTAAAACATGCGTGTAACATGTATAATAGTAATGAAGGGAAAAAATCAAAAGATCGATTATATTCCGAATGTGTTTCATTTATTTTGATTATATTTTCGTTAAATTATATGTCTATATATATCCACTTTTGTGATTTTAAATTAAAATTAATATAAAAAGCTTATAACAATGAGATTTGTGTCTGAAAAAATAAAAATTGGGAAGTTTTATTTTTTGGGTAATTTCTAGTCATAAATGTCAAGTAAAATTGACGACTACATTTTGTTGATTTGATTATAAAATTGTGTGAATAATATATAAATGAATTTAATGTAATTAGAATAAATCTGAAACAAAATTTTTATTTAATTTAATATTTTACCTTTAGCATTACAAATGAGTTTTTTTTAGAAAGTGAGCACTTGAATTGAATATTATGAAGTAGCATACAGAATATTTCGTGTTTCCTATCCCCATCAAGTTTTATATTACAACGGTGGATTCCCAGTAGAATGATCTTACTGGTCGCTAGATAGATAGTGATGATTTTAAACAAAGAATTAGACACATTAAGTTGACTTAAGCAACCATGAAAATCAATTCGCCAGCTTGTACACATGCGGCCCGAGATGATAGAAATTGCACCCATAGGTAAATCTTAGTAATCGTCGTCATCAGTCTGTATTGGAAATCTGAACATGGAGAATGAATGCACTAAACTCGAGCTCGAAGAGCCTCTTGGCGGTGTTTGGACGAAGAGTCGAGCAATGGTGAAGACATCCCAAATAGTCCCAAATGTTATGAGCATGTTATAAGCACGCAACGAAGTGGCATACCTTCGACTTGAGCAGGAAGAAAATGAAAAGAATCCTGCGGAGCGGGAGTGAAATCGGATATAAAAAGAATCCCGGCTCGCCGAATCGATGGAACCTGCATGAGAGATGCATGATACCATAACTCGCAGATAGGTGAGCGAGAAAGGTCAAAAGCACCATCAGGGCACGACCTCGAACACTCAACAGAAGAACCGAGGTGCCGGCAAAGCTTAAATATATGAAAAGGGGGGGTGGCACATATTCTATGGGAAAGAGATTTTAAATGGAGGACATCTTGCGAAGAACAGTGGTAGCCCATGACCGAGCCGTGGGTGGCAATGCTAGTCGTCCAGCCAGCCGCTCGAGGTCGATCGCGGAAGAATATGATGAGTGAGCTCGTTCGGCAAAGCAGAGGACGCATTGAATAATTTATTCCCGAGGGGGTTCCTGCATTGAATGGACACCGTCGTCGTAGATGAAGCGGATGGCGTCCCTCCTCGAGTACCAAAGCTCTCGATGCGGCCTGCATACTACGGAACGAGGCAACGAGGCGAGGGCGAGCGATTGGATTTGGCACGTTTATAGTAAGGCGAGAGAGAGAATTGGCCCGCGGCCAGGAAGGGAAGGAATTGTGGAGGCCGAGGGGCAGTGCGCTAGGGAGGGAAAAGTGCACTGCACTGCACTGCAAGCGCGACATAAAGGAATGGCGAAGAAAAGAAAATGGAGGCGTTCGCTTTTGGGTTAAGGCAGCGACTGGCAGAGGCCCGTGCCCTCCAGTAGAAACGACGGCCGGCTATTGCCACTGGGCTTCACCCAATCTTCGCCTTCAGCCGGCTGCCCGCTCTGGCCGAGGAGGGGCAACCCGGGCGGTCGCGCTCCGGTCAGGTCGCGTCGGGTCCGGTCAAGCAGGGTCGGAGCGAACGGGAGCCAGGAGGGAGGGAGCGACGGAAAGGACGACGGAAGGACGGAAAGAAAGGGGGATATCCCCCACCCTCTCCCCTCAATCCGAGTCCTACGGTGGGAGGAAGGGAGGAAGGGAGGGGGGGCAGGGTCAAGGCCGGGGAGAAAGAGGAAGAGGGGAGCGTAGTGGGAGTGCGAGTGGGACGGGGGAGGGGCAGGGGCTGGGGCAGGGGCAGGGAGGAATGGGTCGATGCGGAGAAGTGAAGTAAGAAAGAAGACTCGTGTCGGTGTGAGCAACAGGAGGGGGTTGGGGGAGGGGGCAGCGAGGAGAGGGGGGAGGGGGAGGAAGGGGGGGAGGGCTCTATTTTTGCTGTGGGTACTGAGGAGATTGTTCTCCGATCCGCGAGAGGAGAGGGGAGGGAGGACAGGAGGTGGAGGGGGGGGGGGGGGGGGAAGGGGGGGAGGAGGTGGTGGAGATGGTGGTGATGGACCTGGGGATTGTTGTGAGGCTTCGTAGGTGAGGTGGGGGTTCGGAGGGGGTGAGGCGAAGGTGGGGGGTGGGGGCAGAGGGAGGGATCTTCTTGTCTGGCGAGAGTAGTAGAGAGAGACGGAGGAGTGAGCATTTCGCAGGGGGGGCTTTCTCCTTCTCCTTCTCGGTCCGACTGCCAGCCACAAGACGAGAGCGCGAGAGAGAGAGTTGTTCTCCGGTTCCGAGGCTCGACTTCTGTGCTGCTTGCTTGCTCATTCATTTTTTAGAACGGCTCTGCCGCTCGGCTCTCTCTGACTCCCTCTCTCGTGGATGAAGAAGGAAGGAAGGCGAGCGACCGTCGTCTGTCTGTCTGGCTGTCTCGGGTGGTGAGGAGTGGAGAGGAGACCTGTTTTTATTGTCTCGATCTCGTGATAGAGCGAGCGGAAGACCGACGACCTTGAGGTCTTGATGCGTAGATGCCCCGCCTTGCATGCCCGATCGGGTGATGTAGATTACTGCCTCGTCGAGGAGTAAGTCACACTCGCATACGCACGAACACAGCGCACTCTCTCGCACCCACCCACACACAGACACAGACTCAGACGCACAGATACAGACACATACACTTAGACAACACACATACACACACACACACACACTGACACAGACACACATACACACTCACTTCTGCTTACACCAGAACGCATCGATGCTCATATGCACTCGCCTATGGCCGCCCCCCTTCCTCTGCTCCTCATGTCAACATTACTATGGCTTCCGCGCCTCCTGCAGCCCCGCCCTCTGCCGCCCATTCTCGTAAATCCACACCTTCTCTCAGCCTCTTCTCCAATTGGAGTTCTCATGCGGGGTTAGGGTTCCGTGCCAGGGCGGAACGGGGTTTTTCGGTTTTGCGCAATCAGGCGTGTAGAGTGGTAGGTAGAGGAGAATGATCAGTGGGGGGGGAGGAGCTGGAGTTGCGGCTCCGGGGGGCCCAGGACAGCCCCTTGAATGGAAATTTTCGCAAGTTTTCGGCGAGCGTGCAGCAGGCGAAGAAGTGCAAGAGGGTATGGCACTTCCCCCCTTCATCACATTGGTCCCCTTTCTGCTGATTGCTGCCCTATCTCATCGCCGCCCTTTTGGTATCTGCTTCGCATGTCCTTGTTCCTCAATCGGCCTTTCTCCGATGTGCGATGTTTCAATTTTCCGGCTGCTCGCGAAATTACTCTTCTCTCGAGATCGCCCCCTCTGCGCGCAACCTGACCCTGCTTGACTCATTTTTCTCCGGATTAGCTCTTGTGTGTTTCTATCACGGGCGCCGTACTGGTGTTTCTGTCGTAGCTCCTCTCCGCACTTCTCCTGTTTCATGTTCTCTAGATGTTCGTTTAGGTTTACCGTCTGGCTTGGCACCTGACCCCCCTCTCTTCCTTGCTAGGACATTTGGGACATTGTGAGTCAGTGATTGGCCGTAATTCGACCTCGGTGCTTCTCTCTCTCTCTTGCTCCCTCTCCCTCTTCCTCGATGCCGGAGGCACCTTTGTGATTGGAATCGTTCGTACCTGTCTGTGATTTCTCATCAGCTCCCTCCCGTATCTGGATTGCATGCCCTATCGTGCTCTGAAGCAAATCACGATGAGAGGACGCACCTGCATTCCTTGCTCACTGTGTAACACAAGCAGGTGTTGTTGATTTGTCCGTATTCTCGATTTCCCCCCTCATGCAGTTTCCTTTTCGTCCGCATAGTTTGCTTCTCTTTCTGCTCCGATGACCGCATGCTTGGGGCTCATACTTCCGGATTCCTCTTTGATTCGCCACATGCATTCACATCTGGTTCTCCGACTGGATGAGTGTGGACTTTCGTCCTTTCTGAACTCCCATAGTCTCAATGTCAGAGAACATAAGATTTGCAATCTAAACTGAAGGACAGTCATGGTGGTGACGAGCTGAATGTAGTCTCCTCTCTATGAACCTCGATTTCGAGGAACCCAGAGATCCTGCTTGGTAGATGGCCTCACATTCTGCAACTAGTCAGGGTTAATTACTTTGTATTCCAAGGGTCACTTTATATACCTCTAGATTACCGCTGAACATGCTACCCCCATGACTTAAAATTGCACTAGACCGATGTACCGTGCAAACGTGATGGGATCCAGATGGAACAAAGTCCTCAGTGACGTTTCCTGACATTCTTCTCAACACTTGGCTTGTAGACATCACTGTGGAAGAGTCCCATCGCTGACAACTTTGACAATTTCTGACTTTGAGATGCGTACAAGATCTGACGCTGAGATGATTGTATTGCAGTTGATATAATCTCTGCAATTGAATTTGACAAGAGCGGTGAGCATTTGGCCACTGGAGATCGTGGAGGGCGTGTGGTCTTGTTTGAAAGAACTGATGGGAAAGATGTAAGATCTCCAACTATCATTTGCTGCGTTGTTATTTTGGGGAGTAATATCTTCTCCATCGACGAAGTGCAGGAATCGATCGTCTTCGTTCCGACTGAATTTGTAGTCGTTTCGATGGATGAAGGTCAAAGTACAGTAGAATATATGGTGCCTTGTACATGTACATTCAGTATTCCCTTAGGTTTCTTTTGCCAAGAGTACCTTGTGATGGTGGTCGCATGTGGTTCCAATGCAGCTTCAGAATAGGTGAGTTTACTTGCACGAAGAATTGAGGCCGAAATGGGCTATGGTGGAAGGAAAGATCTGGTTTATTTCCATTTTACACTCAATGGTGCCCTCCAGTGTCATGCCCATTGCCAATTTATGGATGAAGAAACTGATTCACTGTTTCATGTTTTGTTTCCCTGCAGCTACGGTCCCGGAGAGAGCTCGAGAGGGCAGATTATCCAATCCCTAGGCATCCAGAATATCGTTATTCAACTGAGTTCCAAAGTCACGAGCCAGAGGTAAAGCTAGAAGGAAAACGCATTTCTCCGTCTTTCTTGAAAGCAACACATTTTGACTGGAATTATGACTGGCCGAGAACATTCTTGCCAGATAGTGAAGATAGTGATCATGTACTGGTGAATCAACACCGGTCACCTACACATGCCAGTTTTTTCGCTCGCGCTCGTGCATATGTCGGTGAATGTGAAGGATTAATTATTCCCATGGCCTCAGTGAAGCGCATGACAACGAGTATCTATAACACGATTTACAAGCTTGAAATTATGTTATGTACATTCTCAAGCGGGACAGTGGTGCTGGTTGCTTTTCACATCGGCACGGGTGTGTTTCAATTGGCTAGCCCTTGGCCGAAGCAATTGTCACTCGTTTGGCTTGGAGACTGAGTGGGAAAGGCCCCAAACACAAACAAGCCGCCCGGCTCCTGTTGCCTTATTATCTTATGTGGGGGCGCGTGTATATTGGTGTTTACCTTGTAGTAGGTCCTTTCCGGTTGAGAACCGATGGCTCAAGTAGCCTCTGTTGCCAGTTTCGGAAGTTCCGGACAGCTCACTCTTGGATATAATAAGTTGAATAGCCTATGGGGTATTCACCTAGTGCGGAGAACGTCTCGGACCCTTCGCAGCTCCTCGTGTAGGAAGGTAAGGATTGGTTGCAGTTTACTGGAGATCGTTCTACATTTGAGCTTCAGCAGCAGATCAATACTGAAGCTCAAATGCCCCGACCATAACCGTGTCTCTTGGTGGTGTCTGACCTCAGTATCGCGTCAATTTAAAGGCTGTGACACCTCGTGACCGCCCATATCTTTGCACTTCAAGGAAATGCCAACTTGAATCAATTTAGAAGACACTAGCATTTTAACATAGTGTCATTGTGTTGCGTCTCGTAGACGCAAATATGAGTAGCTTCAGATGGATGTTCCATCTTCTTCTGTATGTCGCAAAAGGGTGATACCACCCCTTGCGTATCCAGTGCAGTGCTAGTGTACGAAGTCAATGCTTTATCTCTTGCGCTGTCTCCGTCTTAGTTTTTCTTGTCGCAAACTTTGCCCCGTAGATTCGTTTGCAAGGAGCAAAGTCGGCGGATGATCCGACGCATTGATATATCTTTTTGTTCGATCCTTATATGCTGCGAAAGTAATGTTCTCTCAGCCACAGGTACTTCCATGCATCAGGTTAGATTGTTTGTATTATTCCAGCAACTAATTTGAATATCTTTGTCTCTTGCAGTTTGACTATTTGAAGAGTTTGGAGATAGAAGAAAAAATCAATAAAATCAGGTGGTGTCAGACAGCCAATGGTGCCCGGTTTCTGCTTTCCACTAACGACAAAACAATTAAGCTATGGAAGGTGATACATTGTCCTGGTTGTATGGTTGCTCTCTTGTTTTGTTTATTTTCTCGACTTTGCAGGAAAGACCCTGCACTTTGCGAATTAAGAATGTAGTTGGTTGACCTTTCCATGTGGTATTGTAGATGTTATGTTTCTTTCTGCTTCTTATTTTACATCTTTTGCATGTCATTTGTTGTTTAGATTATCGGAGGATTCACCTCACGCGGGTGTTTTTACTTCTGTTTCAGTGTAGACGTCCAATTCTAATAAATGGGTGGTGGCTTTTGTTGGTATCTCTTTTGTTTGGCAGGTTTCTGAGAAGAAGCTAAAGAACGTATCGAACCTGAATGTAGATCCTTCTGTGCGGCATGGAAATGGAAACCTGGTTGGGAGTAGTCCAGTGCAGAGCCCTAAGGGTTATGCGCCACCTCGATCCATTAACGGAGGGGCTGTTCGACGGACGTTGCCACCCATCAGCAGTGATTTTGTTTTTCCTCCAGGCGGCATTCCATCTCTTCATCTGCCCACGGTAGTTGTAACTGGCTTTACACCCTACGTGAGATCAGTTGATACTGCTGAGATCAGAACTCTGAAGTTCTCTTCATTGGATACTTTTCTCGATTAGCTGCCAGATGGACCACTCCAGTTTGGTTCTAAAGTCTCGATTGTATCTTGGATACAGGTTTGGAGCCATGAAACTGCTCTTGTTGCAAGATGTAGGAGAGTTTATGCCAATGCGCACGCATATCACATAAACTCCATTTCGAACAACAGGTGCTTATGCTGTCCGTCGTCTGATCGCATCTCTTATTTTCCCCTTCTCATTACCTTGTAATAGATTTCAGTGGATCTTACCTTCCTATATGTTTCCTTGTTCACCTTTGTTTACGCGTCACAGATTTCTATGATTTTCTCCAAAAGACTTGATCGGTATGCAAGGTTTAAGGTTTTGGTTGTGTTTCTTATGTTGCGAGCTGTTTCCATGTGGCAGTGATTGTGAAACCTACATATCAGCAGATGATTTGAGGATAAACCTATGGAACCTTGAAGTCAGTGATCAAAGTTTTAATATTGTTGACATTAAACCTGTCAATATGGAAGACTTGACAGGTGGGGATGAAGTCATTCTTGTTTCCGAATGGTTTTTTTGTGATTCGGTTCTGTAGACCTGCTATAGCAGTACGAGGTGTGTTGATTACCAAGGCTTCTTGCCATTAGCTTCACTAGTGGTTTGGAAATATGTCAATCTTCTGATTTGGGACTGATATTGGTAGAATTTCTTTACAGTAGTTTGAGTAGAGAATGTACTAGCTACCAGTGTGTTTTGTTCAGACTGAGATGTTATAGAATGGGCCATTATATATACCACTTTTGGTCGAAGTAGAGATGGACAACTAGAGGTACATGATATATTTTGTTCTGCATCATGTAGGCGATGTTATCGTTGTGCTGGTCCGTCCGAAGGTGTACATCTTTTAATTTCGTGTAAATACGAGGAATATCTGTTTTCTGTGATTATGATGCTTTAAATATTCACCTGGGCTTGTCATGCAGCTCTTTGTAGCAATACCGACTATTTCATTAGCTTGAAATGTTTCATGACCGTGCCCTGTTTATGGTGCCGATTTTACAGAGGTCATCACGTCTGCTGAGTTTCACCCTTCACATTGCAACATGTTAGCGTACAGTAGTTCCAAGGGCACGATCCGCCTTATTGACATGCGACAGTCAGCTTTATGTGACCGCCATGCCAAACTGTAAACGTCTCACTTTCTTGCCTTTGTATCGCTGTGTGTTTCGTAGTGAATGTGGAGCTACAGTTTAGCTTTATGTCTAATTGCTTATGAGATTATGTCTTCAAGAAGAATATGTTCAGGTGATGTAGTGCCTCTGTCAGAATCATCCAAACAAGTTCACTTGCGTCAAAGAACATGTGAACCTGATTGAGTCCACTCATGTGTTATGTGTGAATATGTTTTATGGCTGTCGCTAGGATTTCTTTGCGAGGTTACTGGCTTTGGTATTAGATATGGAAGACTACACAGGATGTTTACTGCATTTTTTCACTCACCGATTTCACATTTATTGTCATTAGAGTCAGTATTTGTTGTCAGTTGAATTCAAAACAAGTGAATGAGCTTGAGAAATTCTGCGTCCGAGTAGATTCCTATCTTCCCGGTAAGGCTTCTACCTGCCGATACGACTCAAGAGTTTTGAAATTCGTGTAATTATTGTGTTTGATCTTTAAATGTAAGTATGCGTTCTTTGCTTCCTCTTCTGACAGATTTGAAGAGCAGGAGGCACCAGGCTCAAGATCATTTTTTACAGAAATCATAGCGTCCATTTCTGATATTAAATTTGCAAGAGGTGGACGGTACATTCTCAGTCGAGATTATATGACTCTCAAGGTTTGTTTCAACCTTCTTCCTTGCCTATGGGGCTCTATGATACTTACGTTTTGCTCTGTAGCCATGGCGTCTAACCCAGAACTCTGTGCGTTCATCCTCAAGAAATGACATAAACCAGAATCATTGATCTTATGTGTAACGACGTTAGTTTTGGTGCCTTATCCATATGTGAATAGCCCAAAGACTCTGCCCAGTATAGTTTGTGTGGTTTAGATTCTTTTTTCTTCGATCCTCCTAGTTTACCTATGAGCAGTGATGAAGAAGAAAAACCTTGACCAACGTTCCACAAGTTTTCTCGAATATGTATACTAATCCCTCCGGATAGAAGTGAAGAATTTTTTAGTCATCTTATTCGTGGTCATACAAATGTCTTTTCAAGTATGCTCAACACTTCAGTCCGAAATCTTGAAATATCAAAATGGGCCCTGCACGATCTGACTACGAGGCCTAGCTTTCGAGTTTCATAATCATCCTGTCTGAAATGTGAACCAGTTGTGGGATGTGAATATGGAGGCCGCGCCAGTTGCAACTTTTAAGGTCCACGAATATTTACGTCCGAAGGTGTGTTTTACACGTTCGCTTCCCTGTGCTGTTTCTGCTGTCCTTGCAAGTTCGGATGCAATTCTTAGTTTTGTTAATGCCATGCTTGGTGGCTGTACAGGTCTACCTTTATACTGATATTAGGAATATTTTCTTGGACTTTATTGGCAGTTATGTGATCTTTATGAGAATGATTCCATCTTTGATAAGTTTGAGTGTTGCCTAAGCGGAGATGGACAACGTGTGGCCACCGGATCGTACAGGTTTGGTTCCTCACACTAGTCAACCATGGATGTGTTTATCATTCGATGAAGATACTGTCTTCGCCCGCCCGAGTTCGTTTTCTAGGTTAGGTTGGGATATTTGTAAATATTTATTCGTGCTCATCTTTTTCTCAAATTTGATTGTTTTCTTCCCTTTGCTTATTCAATCCAAATGGGATAAATTGGTAATTAATTTTTTTCGTGTGGAAATGAATCCACATGTTGAGTATTGAAGTCTTGGTTTAAGAAGGGTGTTTGTAAGGGTTCACTATCTTGCCGTGCGCTGTTATACTACAACAAAGTAGAGGCGATCAGGCCATATATTGTAGTGGACGTGCTAGACTTGAATTCCTGATGACCAAAGTAATGAACTTGCTCTGTTCTAGAAGTGAAATGATTTATGAATACTCATGCATGTTTCATGTTGGCGTTTTTGCAGCAATTTATTTCGTGTGTTTGGGGCAGTGCCTGGCAGCGAGGAGGCGTCCACCCTCGAAGCTAGCAAAAGTCCAAATAGGTAGCAAAACGGGTCGAATGCGTTTATGCAGTTTCAATGCCTACTAGTATACAAATATTGTTGCGTTTATTTATTCGCAAATGCGACGACTGTTTCTTCTTGTCTATTGTGAACTGATGTCTGTTTTGGTGTTGTCAACCGGGAACTCCTGCGACCTTGGCTCATTGGACTTCTTAGGCGGCTGGTGCAGACTCCCACAAAGTCTGGAAATCGCCTCTTTAATGTTCGAGGTAGACGTGACACTAGAGGGCGAGGTAGTTGTCTCAAGTTGTCTCATTTATTTCATTGTTGGGTGATGTTCTGCGCGTTGCCAACTGAGTCGGCAAGATTGTTGCTACAATCTGGATGCCCATATTCTTTCGCTGGAAGGACCTGCAGTCGACAAGAGAGCTGGGTTTGTAGTCTCCATGTTCACAGGAGTGAAAAGTTGAAACGTTGTGTTTTGCTTGATTGCAGGTGGTGACAGCCCTGGAAGTGAAATCAATGGAGGGCAGTATGACTTTACGTCGAAGCTTTTGCACCTAGCATGGCACCCGGTTGCAAATGTTATAGCCTGCGCTGCTTCTAACAGCCTGTACATGTACTACGCATAGGAATCATCGTTGTTTTCAGTAAAAATATTTCACTGAGTGATTTTTTACCTCCATGATCTGTGAGGGATATCTTGGGAAGAGAGGGAGAGAGAGTGATGAGGGAGAGTGAGGAAGAGGGGATGGGGAGAGGGAAGTCTGATGGTTGCAATTATCATGCACATTTTTTCGAGATATCATCATTGTGAAGTAGTCCTTCATTGAAGTTTGGTGGACTGCAAGAGAACACGCTTGGTCACAAGCCACGACCACTTTAGGAAGGTATTTCCAAAACTAGGTGACGAGGCTTTAGTCCTATCTGTAATGTCAATGGGTTGCTTTTTATAGCTGGTCAATCTCATAGCAAGAAGTGTTGCAGCTCCTGTTCATCAATCGCAAATCATTGGGTTGTCGCATGTAACTTACTGCACTTGCTCTGTGTGGTGTCACCTTGTCTGAGTGACTTGAATACATTTGTTGTACGAGCTCGTCTTGGTGGGTTTTTTTTTCCTTGACGTGACATATTGTGTTTGCATTTGGGTTTTGCTTCGTCTTAGGGTTGTCTAAGGTCTAAAGTAGAGTTGTTAGTCACAAACAAGGTCATTGAGTCACCCGATCCAACAAGAAGAGTATGGGAATTAGCCGAGGAAATCGTAGGTTAAAACAATATAATCGGGAAATGCGGGAGAGGCTCTGTTGCACAATTGTTAAATTAAGCCAGAACATGAGTGGAGAAATTATGTGGTGTATACCGAATAGAATCGGAGGCCTTATTCTGCTGCAAGTTGCAACTAGACTGTGTTCGCATACTTATATTCCCCGAATCGTCTAGCGGATTTTGGAAAAGATCCATGTGTTATATTACCAGAATGGTTTACACACAGATATGTACAATCGCTCTTCTGAACTTCAGGACTGCCCACCGAGGACTGAATGATGTTAACTATTGTGATATATAATCCTCACATATATCTCTAAAGATATATGTGAGGGTTGTGAATGTTGTTAACTGAACACTTCTGGGCATTCCGAACTTTAAGTGAGGGTATGTAGGCAGGTAGGAACGAGGAAACCCTGGTTAGGCTCCAACGATACGCAGTCTTCGCAGACAGGGGACAGACAACGAATTGTTAAACAAGGGAAATGTCGGTGAAGGTCTGTCCACATCGCAATCGCTGAAGCAATTAATCTCACACTTAGCTTTCAACGTCGATCGTACTTCTACGTAGAGCGAAATCATGATATCTTATCAGAATGCATGTGACGACAGCGTGAGGGAATGTGTAAGGGAGTGAACACGGGCTGGCAGATGGAAAACTTGATTACGTCTTGTACTTTACTATTAACGTCAGGAACACAGCAAATAAGGAAACGAAAAGTCGAAGATACTGCTGAATGAAGGAGTGTCAGCGGTGAAATGATACGATGACGTGCTCACCCTAAGCCGATAATTACGAACTAGATTGTATGCCTCAGTGTGCACAAAGTGTCGAGACTCATATGTAAAACTTTCCGTCCACATGACGCATTGCATTGTGTGAGTGGAAGGTTCTGTTCGTCCGGATGACATATGTTTAACGAAGAACTTCTGCTCAAACCTTCCTTGGGCGATAGACAGCCAATTTGCTCGCCTGTCCTGTCATATGTGGTCGAATCTATCTGCAACATATGTACGTCAAATTCTTGGAAGTTTCGGAGATGAGCTTCTTCTATAAGCATTGAAGCCTTTTACTGTTATCATTCATACTCATGAATCTGCAGTACCTTACAGAATGCTTGCAATCTAACGAAGTCTAGTGCATAGCAGGCGAGGAAATTGAGAGAACAACATCTTTGTTTATTCGTCCATCTAGATCATAGTAGACAACTAAGAAGAAAGAACAATATTTTTCTGATGCAAACCTCTTCTGATAACAAACTTGTTACCAAATCCATTTTCCTTACATCATCATGTGGAAACTGCAGATATGTTATCTCCAAAAGTACGGAAGGTATAATGATGTGACACCAGTGAAGACAGAACGACGTCAAAAGCCCTTGATTTCACAGCTACTGTGAGTGTTTGCTGCAGTGGTCTATAGTGGTGATATGCCTTGAAGACACTCGTGAGATCGGACCAATATACATGTGGTTGTGTAACATATTTGTACAGGAGACCTTGAGGTCAAACACGTGGACCGTGCACAAGGAAAAAGGAGACGCATCAATGAAGAAAAGGTTGCAAAAGAGAACATCATATCCCTTTGAGTTTGAATCCAAATCTCTATTTTGGGGCCACAGTTTAGCCTAGTAATATATCTGCGTTGGTAACTTCCATTGAGATTTTTTTTTCCCATTCAAACGAAATTCTTCGTTAGCAGTTAAAGTGCATGTCTATTACGCTACAATTATTGCAATGCCATTTGCTTTTGATGGATGAGGGATCCCGTCTTTTATGGACCATGTACGCCAATAGTATGTCTTAATAAGTTTTCCAGAATACCATTTTGGAATGATAAATAAAAGTATCTGACCTTGTAGTTCTTTCCATTTTCAGAGTATAACTTTAAGAGAACAAATTAAATGCTATACAGATAAGGACTTTCTTTTCCGACGATTCGAAAAGGTTGAGAAATATATTTACTTTAGTAAGAGTTTTTTTGAAAGAAAAACACCTATTATAAATATCTATATGAGGAAAAAAATTCTGAGAAACAAATCATTCCTAAGTTCGGCCAATGTATTCAAATAGCAAGTAAATGATTGGAAGATGGGAAAGTACACGAGGTACGGAACATAAAAAGATGTGCAAACTGAAAAATTAATATGAGAAAACTGATTAAAAAGGTGCAAAGGATAAACACATAACATTTCTTAATGACATAATCCTCTTATTAATTTTCACCTTTGATTCATGGTCGATTCAGCTGCAGTTTCATGATTACAAAGGGAATTGTGTTACTAATATTATTCGATGTTTGTGGTTTCTTCACCATCGACTCATAAAGTACTGTCACATCTACATACATCCCTTGCAAAAGTAATTCGCATCACTTAATTATCCTTTCCACATCGGCGGATTAGGAGTTAGGGCTAAGCAACTCATAAGGTTCCCTTAAACACAGGAAACCTCAATCATTCAACCTTAGTGACACTTGACAGTTGTAAATGCACTCATTTAGGATTCGTGTTCATCTTTGACTCTTGTATTGCCCATATAGCATGGGATGTAGTTAACCTAAGTTATGCTCCGATCAAGAGAAAGTGTAAAATTTAATTGAACGGAAAAGAATTTCATATTTGACCCAAAAATGGGAGAATCTGATGAGTTCTAAGAATGATTAAGACCTTGTCAAAAAGAAAAAAGTTAAATTGAAACTGAAAATGCAAAGAAAATCCATGGATGCTTACTGAGGTTAAGCCAAACCTAAGGAGGAATCTTCGATCAACTAGTAGGTCTAAGGTCGGGCTCACATTTAGTTCAACTATAATTGCCCCTAAGGTACGGCTGTTGCGCTTAAAATTTATTTTTTTACAAGAGTTTTGAAGAAACACCTAAACTGCCGCAAACATAGTTCTGAGAGAGGTACAATCATTGATGGCGCCTCACAGATCTAAGATAGAACGCCATAGAGATTGTAATTGTTGAGATGGAAAAAAATAGTTGGGTTTGTCATGTTCGCGACCAAGCGGTCTCCCTAAAATAGCCTTGTAGAATAATTAAAGAGAACTCCCTAATATAGCCGTGGAGAATTATTGAAGAGTTACTTTTGAGCCATCAAGATTGGAGCCAAATTCTTTTGGATCTGAAAGCCATGACCACTTTGATAACCCAATCTAACAGATCACAATATGGATTGCCATGTAATTTTTGGGAATCGTTCGGGCGAGTAAGTAACGAAATCGAAAAATTTAAAGGACGATAATCTATGTGTGAGTAAGCCATGAAGTAATTGAGGTCTCATTTACAATACTTTTTCACCAATTTAGAAGCATGAAATGATGGCTATGATGGTCTTTGTGGTCTATTGGATTTAACCTTGAACTCACAAAAATCAGACGTCTCCTGAGTTTCAGACTCTTGGTTGTTTCCAATAATATAAGTATAGACCTAATGATAGGCCTTGGACATAAGACCTTTCTTAAGATCTATGATTCAATTCTGATATCTACAATACTCGATGGAAACTAAAAGTCCAACTCTTACCTACGGGATGAAAATGAAGAGAAGGGGTCCATATGTAGACCACGCATCATGATCATATTGTACCTAATAAACAACCTCGAACCTAGATGAAAACTCTGGAAGTTTGGACCATGTCAAAGATTGAGGTATGTAGAAAAGTCAGCCCCAAGTCACCAAGAAACCATATTCTCTACGTACGGATAGTTCAAACTTAGAATGCTAACTACAATAAAGCATTGACCTTAGCGCTTATATTGAAAAGTGTGACATTGCAAGTTGTTCCTGATATCATGGCCATACAGTACTGAATTGAGGTTTCCAATACAATAGCTAGGAGTTGCATGGTTGTTATCTTGCAAGTTGATGCACCAACTTGGTCATACATTATCCACACTACAGAGATTGAGGTTCCAATGCAATGAAGAATAATGAGTTGCATAAATCGTAACTATAACAAAAGAAATCAACCTGACTATGTGAAAGTACGTGTTTATTGCGAAAAGATAGTAGGTACTACAGCTAGTGTCAGGCTTGGACTCACACCTTGGGCGGTCCGGCCATTAGTGGCAGGACGTGGGAAATTTGGGATAGTAAAGAAAGATGTCTCCGGAGGAGCGTCCGTCCTGCCAGAGTGAGAGTGCGGGGCCGGTCGTTTCGTGCGACGAATTCGCACCAGTCATTGTTTCTCGTTCCACGTTGATTGCGATTAGCGGCATTCATTGCAGGCTCATGTGACATGTCCATAAGAATGATGAAGCATGTCGACCGCAGCAAAACGAACGTGTGCGTAAATGCTTGTCTTCGAGGACGAGCCCCGAATATGGCACAAAGTGGATTATTAGTTATACTTCGTTTAGGGTTAATTGGATTTCATTTTACAATACTTTATTGTTTGATGGAAGACTATATTTTAAAATTAATTGTTAATTAACTTTAAATGAGTGGAAACTAGTTGTTTCATTTTTTTTTTGGAAAAATAAATTTAATCAGATAATTATATGTATGCAACAAAATAAACTTAACTTTATCGACAATATTATACTTTTCTCACCAAACTCTTAGTAACCATAATCAACTTTAGCTAAAGTCAATAAATCCAATTTATTGCACCGTATTCTTTGTTCTGCAAAAACATTATTAAATGACACAGAGACACCATAGCGTGAAGGTTTTTGGAATAATCGATATGAAATATTTTTCTTATTAAAAAATATTTGATTGATAAGGATAACATGATAATTGTGCAACCATAATTTTTTTAACTTTAGAAAAATTATTCTATTAACTATCTGATACAATGTTCCGTCATCAATGTGGACCACTGGTGTTTCAGCCGGTTCACACTCATATTGTATAGAGCATCATAATAAGGGACGTTAGATCAAATGTCCCTTATTATGATGCTCAATACGAAGTACCACTTGCATTTTTTGCAGTGGTTTTGATATTACAGAGCACATGAGTGCAATTCTCTCATACTTATGTGTGACTTGAAAGCGCTTTCACACATTCATGGTTATGTTAGCTTCCATATTTTAATTTGAGCAGGCGGGTGCAGAATAGTTACACAGTCGTAACAGGTGATTGATGTCTGAGCGAAGTACAACATATGTCATCCATTTTGGTGTGAAGATCATCTAGCTACATTTCCTACATTACTTGAAAGACGTATAGAAGACGATCGGAATGGAATATGAATGATCTTGGCACCAAGAAAATTTCTCGATACGCTTGAGGATGAACAATTTCTACAGTTGGATGCTCTATGAATTTCAAAACTACATCAAGTAAGTTCCAGTTAGTTGGAATATTAATGCTCAGAAATTGAGGAAAAAAAGTACATTATGCCGTGATCATCTTCATGTTGGGATCTTATATTTAATAAAAGGAATTGAATCAAATCTAAGAGTTCAATCATTCTTTAAAAAAAATAGTGAAATCCTATAAAACATTTCATTTTCATCTTGTACTCTTTCTATACTCTTATGTTAAAGAGAAGAGTTTATGTTCAAAACTGAGGCTAATCATATTACAAAAATACAAGTATTCACTATATCGAATGTTATATTATCGAAGAATTTTATGGGTGCTAAATTGTGCGTAATTATGTCATTGATTTTTGATAAAACCTTAACTAAGTTTTGAAACATACTTATTTTTAAAAAAGGGTTTATGTTTAAACCCATACAATCTTAGTTCCATAGTCACATATCTCCACTCGTAGAATAGAATGATCACTTCCATAGTCCTCGACTGTGTTCAAAAAACGACGAGCATCGAGGACCTCAAGTAGAACTGTGGAAAAAAGCAAGTGTTGTAACCGATTATAAACATTGCCTTTGTAATCATGTCCCATCTCGGCCGGAGAAATTGCAAAATGCATCCATGTCTTTGCAGTGCACTCTTACAGTACGCCGACAAAGTGCCATAGGAAAAAGAACCGAGAACTTCATCGACAAGATGAAACCAAACGGGTAACATGAGACTAGCCCCAAGAGCATCGCGAAGAGATCATGTGGAAGAGATCATGCTAGCAAAGTTGGCAAGACTGTGGATACACACAGATTCAAAGAACTCCTTATCGACATTTTCGACATTCCATATAAGAACAATCGCCTTCCAAGACACTTGTATGCCATATCTTTGTATACACATACATGTACTTATCACACCTATTACAAAGTCGGAAGCTGGTTGAACAATGCGGTTAGAAGAAGAACATCTTTTAAAACTATGTCGAAAACAGTGATTGTCTCGAGGTTTGCCACTGGCTCAGCCCCGCACTGTCCAAACGCGAGTCTAAAAGCACTATTACTTGCTGGAAGTAAGATGAAAGTGAAAATAGTACTTTCCGAAGAGAAAAATACGAGAACGAAGAAAGATCAGAGTCAAGCGCAGAGGTGGCAGAAGCGCAGAAACGACTGGGATCAGAAGAGTGTTGAACGACCCTTGTAATGCTTTTCCAGAAATAAAATTAAAATACAACAAGTATATTCCAACGTGTTTGGAAATAGAAAGTTACTTCATACTTCTTCTGCATAGGATACACTATTGCCCGCACATAGTACTGGTACATGCAGCTGACAGCTTGTTAGTGGTTTTGGTGTATTGTGATAGACTGAAGTGAGAGACTCAGGCTCATCAGCATCTCCGAGGAGATCCATTGCTCGATCCTAGCTTCAGCTGGGCCTTGCTT